AATGGAAATCCCCGGCCACCAGGCCAAGACCTTTCTGCTGATCAGCTCCCTTCTAGGCTTTGAAGTTGCACAAGGGTGAACTTCCGTGATATGAATAATGTGACATCAAATACAATGACACAGAACAACGAGCAAACAACGAAATACAACGAATGATGAGAGATTTTTTTGTGATTTCAGTGATTTGGATATCACTATTCTAGATTGGATGTAGATTTAAATGGTCATTTCCAACTGACTGGAAATGATTAGGATGATTTGATCAACCATGAAATGGATGATTTGGATATGTCCATTTCATCCACTACCGGCACCGAGTATCATGCCCATTGATGATGGATGTTTCAACCGGTATCATAAGAAGTAGACACTGGGCCATTCCGAATTCCGATGTTCTTTGGCAGTGCCATCAACTGCTCCATTTTGAACCAATCCAACATCCCCCAATTTCTCCTTGCCCTCCACTTTCCATCTGCCAGATGCAGCGAGTGAGGGGACTCAAAGAGATGGCGGGTGAGTTTATAAACCCCATAAACTGCAGCTATATTACACATAAATCACAGTTAACCAAGTAATAAGTCAACTTGGCCATCGAATGGGGGCCTCACCTTAAGGCAAAAGACACTTATTTTGCGAAGAATTCTGGTATGTGAAGGGTACAAGAGTGAAATGACCAATCATATGGGTTTTCTTCAAGTCAATATTCTTGTACATCTACCATCTGGTTATTTAACAGTTTGCCATGGTATAGATGGCCCATAGAAATAGATGGTTTACCGTTCTTAAAAATGGTGGATTTTTCCATGGCTATGTTACATAACCAGAGGGTAGATGGTACCAATAAAGACCAAAGATGACCACAAAAAATTGGTAGCAATCTACCCTCTGGTAATTTGTTACATAGCTATTGAAAATGACCATTGAAATAGTGGATTTTCCCATTAAACATGGTGATTTTCCATAGTTATGTTAAACTACCAGAGGGTATTCACTTTCAAGTCAAACGAAATGGTGGAGTTAAGTAGCTACAAGGGTTTTCCAAGCCGAGCCGGTCTCTATTTTATGTATATATTTTATATACGTATATATATAGATGATATGAATCTATCCCCTTAAAAAGCAAGTCAGTTGCATATCATGATATATAAAGCAAGTCATACAAATAATCATCAATAAAGCAAGTCAGATATATCACAATATATACATAATAGACATGATAATATATCATATATCATATTTTTCACCCTCTTGTGATCTAACATAGCTATGGACAGCGCCATGGCCTTAGGTGAAAGTAGCAGGCCCAGCAATCAGACGCCAGAGCAGTTGCAGGCGGGCTGGGATGTCGTGGTCATTGAAAACAACGAAGGCAGAAAACATGATGAGTAAAACATCAGAAACACATCAGCAAAACATCTGTTTACTCAGCTAAAACATCTGTGGTTTACTCAGCTAAAACATCTGTGGTCTATGTTTTCTAAATGTCAAGTGACAGAAAACATGAGAAAACCCAGCTTCTGTTAGATATCTTTCTGGTGAATTCCGAATTCCCCCTGTTAAACATGTGATATCATGTGATATCCTGATATCGCGCGATGCCAAAGTGAAGGCTGGCGAAAATCCTTAAAATTGAACTTGTCCATCCACCCAATTTTTTTCGGGGTTGTTTGGTATTGACCCGTTGGATTTGAACATACCCCATTTCATACACATCAAATGGGCAAATCATTTTCATCTTAAATGGGCACATCCGCAAATTTTCAGGCACAGCCATCTAAGTCATTCAAGTCATTCGGGGTTTATATGCCTATTTCTGAAGGCTCAAATTCCTAACGGCGTAAATCCCTATTGAAGTGTCGCTGGTGATCACCGATCCAAGCCGACGTGAGGCTCGATGTCAAGCAGAAGCGAGGCTGAGTCCCCTTCCGCCCCAATGGAGGATTAAATCATCAACCAATAAGCTGGTTGGTGGTTTGGAACATTTTTTCCTGGTTAATCTATGGTTAATCTATGGTTAATCTATGGTTAATCTATGGTTAATAATGGTTAATAATTGGAATAACAATATATCTGGTTGGTGGTTTGGAACATGGCTGGATTATGACTTGCCATATATTGGGAATAATCATCCACACTGACGAACTCATATATATTTTCAGAGGGGTTGAAACCACCAACCAGATAAGGGTTTCATGGGATTTGGGAATTCAGCCAATGGCATGTCTAGTAACTTGGAGGTGGTGCCCCTGAGGTCTTCTCCTTACACCAATGATATACTTAACTTATGTTAACTTAGTTGTACAAAATAAGTTTGTTCTTTGGTGCCATATCGCACCATTTTGGTATGGGACTATTATTAATTATGATATAGCGGGACATCACGAACAATTTTTTATAATGGGGACACAGGCTTTACACTACAGGAATACAATGGGGATTTATGACCAACCATGATCTGGATACAATTGAGATCATCATGGGGTAACATGGGATACTCTCTGGTAAACATGCAAAAAACGATGGAAAATCACAATTTTTAATGGGACAACTCAACTATAAATGGCCGTGTTCAATAGCTATTTTGACATAACCAGAGGGTAATTGGAATTCATGGGACATGTTGTGGGAAAATTGGCCAAGAAAGATTTGGATGAAGATGACGAGCATATTGCTTCACCAAAATGGGTATGTGAATCACGTGGGAAAAAAGGAAGAGATTCACGGACTTAGCTTTGTCCAGAAGTGTGTATATATATGTATATATATGACAAAATGAGATTGTGATGAGGAAATTCTGACACAGCACTGAATTTTGGGTATTACTGTACCCTACTATGCTATGGAAGGGAGCAATCTCCCCTCTGCAACAAGTTATATATGTATATCACCCACCAGAAAATTAATATACCCTCTGGTAATTTAACATACCTATTGAACATCACCATGCTATTAATGGGTAAATCAACTATTTCAATGGCCATTTTCAATAGCAAACTGTTAAATTACCAGAGGGTAGATATGAAAATCCATGGGTTTCCCTCGGAACATGATTGATTTGCAACTGGCGGATTTTCGCGATGTGAATTTACCAGAGGGGGTTTACTTATTGCTGGGGGTACCCCTAAATCATCCATTTCAGTACAGGATCGTGGTTTATAAAGCCCATGAAGTAGTTATATCTACCATGAACCAGAGTTAATTCAGGCAGATACATATAAACCACTTCTATATATCTACCATAAACCACTTATATATATATATATATATCTCAACTGAACGCTATCGCGAAACGAACAAACTTGGGCCCCATCCAGGCTTTTCCATGCGTCCAGGCGTCTCCTGGCCGCACAACGCCTTGTGCCCCTGGAGTGGCGCACCGTGGTGAACCCGACTGGGTGAAAAAGACGGGCTCCGAAAGCTGCGATGATGAAATGGTGAGCAATGGGACAGTTATTGAAAAAAATGTGACATTGCAGCTAACATCAAATGGTGATGATCGTTGGTTGCTTCATCCACTTAAAACATGTAATTTAAGGTGTTACTTTTCGGCAACCAAACGTGGCAGTGGGAAAGACGAGAAAGCCCAGTTCAGGTGCTAAGGAGCGCCAGAAACAGCGATGGAAAGCTTCTGGCAGGACATCACTCAACCATAGCTTCGATTTCCAAATATCACTTAGAAAATCGCAACAGTCAGTCAACACTTGGATTTAACATTAATGTTACAACTGATTTAACTTGGTTTTCCAACATTGATCAGCCATATTAATACTTGGGTTTTCATTTATTTATACTTGGATCTAGTATTTATCTACGATTTATCTCTTGTTTCCGACGAGTTCCGACCTGGGACCTTACAGCCCTACTCAGTGGTGCCCCATGCGGTCCCACTGGATATGCCATGCCGCCATGACATCCGGAATCAGAAAGATAGATAGATAGGTAGGTAGATAGGTAGGTAGGTAGGTAGATAGATAGATAGATAGATAGATGAATAGATAAGATAGAAACACATCTTTTGTTTTCAAATTCCATATAGTTGGAAATTCAAATTTCAAACTATGGGGAAGACAGTCTCCATCCATTCATCCAGTTTTTTTTTTAAAGATAGATAGAATAAAATAGATAGACATACCGACAGATAAGTAACCCATTATTATATTATTCTATTCTATCTAAAAAAGTAACCCAATTATATTATCTATTATTATAGATAGATAAGTAACCCAATGACAGATAATATAAGTAACCCATGTATACCACCCATTTCTGGGTCCACCGGGGTCCGCATTTGTCGAAGCCAATTTTCGGCTGGCCGGGATGGTGGAACGCGTGCATACCTCAGGCCGTGATGGGAACGCAGGATGATTTTTGCACTTTCTACTTGGGATGATCCTCCAAGCAATATATGCATATTCAATGGGAATAACTGGATCCAAAATCTGGAGATACCTACCATTGTTTTAAGGCCTTATTTTCAGGGAATATCCCACCAAAATATGGCCAGAAATATGGTACTAACGTACCTCCATTTTAGGATCCTGAAATTCCCATTGATATATATAGGATGATACAGGTATATATGCATATACACCTGATCATGACTCTGGATTCCAGATGAACATTTCCTCATTCCCTTGACCATCCCACTTGACAAGAACATGTTCTTGGTGCAGTTTCGAAAGTGTAGCACGTAGGCAATCACCCACCAAGAGGTGGGAGTTTACGCGGGTTGTTGAACCCGAAAATTGGGATTCAGCAAATTGGTATTTAACCACAAACATTGGAGAGTTGAACACATGAAAACATAAAGTGCTCCTCACACCCCTAAATTTGAGATGGCACCATAATTTCTTTGGGTCTGGAAAAGGATTTCCTAGGATTCTGATATTGCATATGGCCATAAGTCTAGGTTCCATGTTGAATCTCAGAGTTCTACGACCTGCTTTGAACGACAGGCCCATGTGACGTGTGACAGCAGACGACAGTGACGACTTGAACGGATGGAGGCCTAATTAGACCGTTTAAATGGGGGGGTTACCATTTAAATATCAGATTATGACTATTGGGGCGAGTGCCCACCTGGTTCATAAACCCTGGTTTTTAAAGTGGGTTGACATCTGTTGACATACATATGGCATATGGTCTGGGCACGTCGTGACCGAAGCCTGGTTCATCTTCCCCTGAAACTGGCTAAACTTTTCGGGTGAAATATGATAGTTTACCTAGATATGGTTGATATTGATATACTGTATGTCTACATATTATACATATATATATATAATGTATGTATATATATAATGTATGTATATATATAATGTATGTATATATATAATGTATGTATATATATATAATGTATGTATATATATATATGTATAGGCAGGTAGACAAAAATGAGATACAAGAGAAGATAGGATAGGATCAGATCAGAGAAACACATACTTTTCGGATTAATTTTTGGGGGGCATCCCCCCCCGCGCAATGGAATCACAGGTAGTTTTTTCTGCTCGTCTTGGTGATACCGATCCACATGAGTTTGTCTGAAAATAGGATATCGCCAGTTCCCAATGGATGATTATGACAATTTTCCTTATTAAAATGGCTATTGGTGGATATCCATGGATATCCCAAACAAGTTCGGAGACAAACTCCACCACCTTTCTGACTGCAGGCTGAAAACACTTTCCAGGGCGGCCCTGTGCTCGTGAATGGCATACAACGCACGCTTCAGGTGTGTGTTGTTTTGCTGCCTTTGTGTAGGGTTTGGTGAGCTGACGATCGCTTGGAGCAGCCCCAACAGTGTCAATTTTGTTGGTTGGATCCCAAATCATATCTTCATCAATGGTTGTTTGATGTTGTTTGTATATCCCACTAATTTTTAGATCTCAGCCATTTATCCCATGAACATCTCTGATTTTACTGGCTTAACTCATGATCCTCAGTGTTCTTTTTCCCTCTCTTTCCCACTCTCAATTTCACCAAGAATGTTGGTTGTACCCTCTAGTAATTTAACATAGCTATTGAAAATGGCCATTTATAGTGGATTTTCCCAAAAAAAATGGTGATTTTCCATAGCTATTTTGACATAACCAGAGGGTATCCCTATCATTTGATGGTGAACTGACGACATCCCCATGAAATCCCCAGGTTAGCAACGTGTTCGTTGCAGGACGAGGACCGCTTCAACCCGCGCTTCAAACCTCTGCTGCCGGAGGAGGACGAGGTGCTTTGTGATTTTCGTGGGAAAGTCATGGGAAAGTCATGGGCATTTTATGGTTTCCATAGTGTTTCCATAGCTATGTTAGTTGCAAGTTTTTCCCCGAGCCAGTGCTATACGAATCAACCTGCATTTATAGAGGATTTTCCATTGATGAATAGTGTAGCTATGTTAAATTACCAGAGAGTATATGGGGTTATATATATAAATAAATATATATGGACCTATAAACATCTATAAACTATAAAGCACTTGCGATGTGGTGGATGCACATCAAAGTAGATAATCAGATAGGCAACAGCTGTTTTGTTTGTTTTTTCGGTAGGCGAATTGGATTGGTGTATGGGGGGATATATCTACAGTTGAACCCAATCTTGGAATTGGTACATATGCATATATACCCCATAGATCCCTTAGAATTATAGGCTAGGGTTTATGGAGATAAATCCCATGGTTACTACCGCGTTTATGGATGAATCGTTTATAAAGAAACTTAGAGTTAGAACCACAGAGGCCAACATGTTAGGGGGTTGAGCGATTTTTCCGTGCGGAATCTGTCCAAAATGCTGGTTGTTGTTGGCCAGACCCCATAAGGTGCCTGTGAATCTGAGATATTCACTGCAATGATCACATTGAATCCAATGAATTCTTGGGATACTCCAATGATCTGACATGAAAAAGGGGATCCAACAAGATCAGAGATGGGCATGTGTGGGTCAAACCCGATCAAGCATGTCATTCCATATTATATATACAGTGTATACATATATATTAATATTATTATCATTGTTATTATTCTTATAATCATGATAATAATTATTATCATTATATTATCATTAATATGATATTATATATATATGAAATATCATGGGAATTTCACAGGATTTCACAAGGTGATGTTTTTAACTGTTACACGAGAAGCGAAACATCGAAGTCCAGGATACCACCCTCCAGCGCCATGAAGTGCCACCGGGGTCACTCACCCACCCGAAAATATTGACTGATCTACCAGCATTTCCCACGAATATTCCACATTTTGTAGGTCGAAATATATACCATACAATTAAGTCTCAAATTGCACTTGGTTTCAGGTTCCAGTCTTCGTTGTTTTTTTGTTTTGCTTTAAACTCAGCCTTTTTTACTGTAATAGATTCACCCTCCTGTAAATTAACATATATAGATGTTTGATAGGGCTTTCGACATTTTTTTGTTTCTTTACCCCAGGATAAATCGCATTTTTTTCCCGCAGAATGGCCCCAAGATAGCTAAGTTGAGATATCAGTTGATATAAGTGGCTTAACTATGGTTTTTGGCAGATATAACTATAGTTGATGGGCTTTATAAAACCAACTTATAAGTGGGGGGGCACCATCCTGTGGTAAATTACCACTTTCCGAGCCAGGCATGGAAAGAGTTGATCAAGTGCGGCGGTGCTGGCGAGGTGTCGTGGTGGGGTGCATGGCTGCATATGGGGCTGAAAAGGGGACTTATAACTTGGTATAACTTGGTGAATTCGTCTGGATCCTGGGTTTAGGGGGGATACGAACTGGTTAAAGGAAACCATCCAGTCAGTTCACATAGATCTGGGTAAATTATAGTGACCTCACGTGGTAACCTTGGAAAATCTTGGTTGGATTACGCAGAGATTCTCCCAATATCGCCGAAGGAATTTGGGGTTAGTGGATGAGACTTTACCCAGAAATCTGGCTGCATACGGGTTATAGATCTGGGAACATTAATGCGTATATACCAACATGTTCCCAGATCTATATATAACCATATATAACCTATATAGGCTATATATTGTAGATCTATTTATAATGCATTATATATACCTATATGTATTATTATGTATTGATACCAACATGATATATTCCATATATCTCCGTTTAGATGAGTGGTTTGTGGCTGATACACAACTTCGTAAATCGGTGCACCTGTGAGTGCTTCAAATCCCAAACAACTGTGTTCTGTTAAAAAAGACTTACGCTATTCATGCAGGATCGTTTCTGCATGGAACGTTCACTAGGGTAGCAGGGTTTGGGATGCCGAAATCATGAAAACATCTTGGGAACATCAGCAACAATACTGTACCTTGTGAATGAAGAAGAGCCATGGTGGTCTGATATGGTTTGCGACATGATGCAGAGAAGTGGGAGTTGACGAACAGTCAAAGGAATGCTTCGGTGATGCAAACAACACCCGTCGCTAGTTACATGTGTGTGGGTTGCCGGGCATCAAATTTTGACCCACACCATGACAAAGAGCAGCATAGACATGACGAGCAATCAAAATTTGAAGCTAAGCCGGCTTGTCCAGAATTGAGTTTGCCTGAAAAATGAGGTATCCCTGAATCCATCATTTTCCCATTATTGGCAGAGCTTAAAATGGAAGTTGAATTCCCCAATTTAAGACACACCCTGAAATGAGGGAGGTTCCTTTCCCAGCAGTTGATGTCTTTCCCGCTCGCGCAATCGCGCAGTCGAATATGACACGGTGGATGACTTGGGGTGATCAATTTTAGGACATACAAATGCTAGCTAGATTTTCTGAACACTAAATCAAGTCATATTACCTAATACATGCTAGATGCTAACCTACCCTCCTGTGTTATCAAACATGGCTGGAAAGTCCTGGAAAGTCCTGGAACTAACGAACTAAATGGAGCCTTCGCTGGCTGGGAAAGCCATCGATTTTTCGCTGGGATTTTCCATTGCGAAGGGTATATGGGATCCATGGGATCCCAAAAATTCATGGGATTCTCCAAAACCAATCCTGATCCCAAAAATCGTCCAACATTATCCCTTGGACATGTTCCATTGTTATCCCATCCAATCCCATCCAATCCCATCATGATCCTTCCCTCAGCCTATTCATGGCAGGAACCACCCATGGAAAATAGATGGATTAGATGGCTCTGTCTGAATATGTTTTTTTTTTCTCTCCCGCTATTTTTTTTATAGAGACAACGATGATTCACCATGAACAATTGGGGTTTTCCATGGTTTTCCCAGCATTTTCAGGCCGCGGCACCATGAGATCCATGAAACCAGGTGGCAGACACGGCAGAACAACAAGCGAAGCGCTATGAGACGGCCAATGAAAGGTCGCCCGAGTGGGGGCCTAAGATTAGGAGTCTGCTAAAAAGGTAGGTCTTGGGGGGATTTGAATGGGATGTTGTGAACTTTTATATCATGGGATTTTGATGGGATTTTAATGGGACTTTGACTAAAAATCAGATCCCAATGGGGTAAAAAATGCAGATTTCATGGGCCCTTGGTGGGGAATTGCCTAATTGTGTGTCTGACGTGTCAGTGTTTTGCCTCAAAATGTGGAAGCCCATGGACCATGGTGAAAAAAAAGCCGGATGTTCCCAAGTAGGAAACCCAGTTGTAGATCATTTAACTGGAGACGTTCATATTTACCAGCTTACCCATGGAACAAAAACAGGATCTTCGAAGGCCAGGGTTTTTTTCGGTAGAACCTTGGAGTTGGATGGCTTATTCATCTAGTTTTTCTACATTGGAGGGTATCATAAAACCACTGGGAAGCCCGAAGAAAACCTGCTTCAACTTGGGAATTTGTCAACCTCGGCTTGAGTTACTTTAGTCTAAAGCACAGCTATGGCTCAATTCCAAACATCAAAGCCCATTTTGCAGAGGTAACTTCCTCAGCAAAACCAAGGACACATCCCGGTCTTGAGGAGTTCTGCTATGGAACTCCCGACGTGTGATCCTCGGAGACGATATTTTTGGCGAGAGGAAGTCTGTTGTTAGTGGTGTTAATGTTGTTTGTCCATCTGGAACAAGAAGAAGAAGAAGAAGAAGAAGAAGAAGAAGAAGAAGAAGAAGAAGCCAAAGAAAAAGAACACTGATAATAGGTTTTTCCATTCCCATTCGGCATTGTTGAAGAATTAAGCCATGTCTTTTGTTAAGGCGATTTTTTCCACAAAGATGGTGATGATGAGATTCGGGCCTGAAGAGGCAATGTTTTCGAGCATGGCATGATGATTTATGGGAATCACGGGTGATTTTGTCGGATTTAACGGGATATTTTTTGGGGGATATCATGGGATATTTTTGTGGGTTTGACTGAACATGGGGTATACCCCCCAAAAAGAGGAAACTTCATGGGGAAACTCATGATGAACCAGTGGATTTTGGGATATCCTATTATCAGACAAACCCTTATTTCTGGCGAAATGAAGCACTTGATCAAGAGCAACAGCTTGCATCTGGGTAATTTATAAAGACCTCACTGCGAGCTGGAATCATGGTTCAGGGAAATCATCCCCATTGGTGGCCTTAATTCAGTCAAAATTTCAAACAAAAACCACTGGGCACTCGATTGCTGGCTCAAGTTTCTCTACGGCGAAAATCCGAACACCAAGATATGCTGCAGGCGTAAGGAGAAAGTTGTGGTCTGACATGGTTTGAGGGTTTGACCAGTACAATTTGTGATGGTCTTTTGGCAGCGCCGAATATTTGAGTCTCATTTTGCTCAGCTCTGTTGTTTCACTTTGGTCAAACTCGCTATGAAAATCATAGGCGGAACTGGAACAAGTCGAAGAAGTTGCGAAGACCAACAAAATTCATGGATATCTAAATATCTATGGTGTTTTTTTCCAGAGAAGCCATGAATTTTGATGATTTTGATGCCAAAAACCCTGAAGTCTCCAGCATATTCTACCCGTAGATATGGTGCTTATCCGTCAGCTTGAATCATCCTATCATCCATTTAGGGGATGATTGGATTCAACACATCTGAATGGCATTTATCTGATATACATATATATATACATACATATATACATGTATGAAATTATCGAAGAGAAAGAGCCTCTGAATGCAATCCAAGTCAGAAACGTCCGTCTTCGCACCATGGGCAACTTGGAGCTCTTGAAGGGCACAGCGGCGGTGAGTTTGCTGATCATCGCCATTCTGGGTGGTGCGCGAGGGCGGTGGGGCGAGGGGGTTGGGTGACAAAATGCTGGTTTCTGCCTGGGATTTGATGGGGATTTAATGGGATTCAATGGGATTTTTATGACCAACTTGGATCCAGTTAGTAACTTCAAACTTCATAATTAGTTGATTAGTACCTGGGGTTCAAACACAGCGTTGGGGGGTGCAACCTTGAATTTCACTGCATAGAATTAGTATATAACCAACCAAAGATGAGGATTTAACTTGGAAAAAAGATCATCATAGCCAACTTTAAAGGGGTCTGGGCCATTGAGAACATGGGGAAATTATCACTTTGAAAAGGAGGGTTGAACTAAGAAAATATGTCATTTCACCCAACATTGGTGCTTTGACATGGTTTGAATCATGTAAGACTTTAAGACGTAGGATTTGGCTAACAGAACTTGCAAGAATCGGGAGTTCTGCAGAAAAGGTCGATGTTCCCTTCATGAGGACAGTGATTTGACCCAGAAAAAGAGGCAGCAAGTGAAACTAGGCCTTGAAGCAACAACCAGTAGGACACCCGTTTTGCCGAACGAAATCGGATGCATCCAGTAGGTACTTTGACAGATTCTGCATAATTCGGTGCAAAACTTGATATGTACAAGGTAAAACCCCTTAGTTTTCTTGGTAAAGCCAACTAGTTCGTGACAGATCCCCCTGAACCATGGAATCCTCCAGGCTTCCTGCCATTGCACCTGCATCATGCACGGGTGAACCAGGACACCGTCCTCGTCCCAGTCAGATGTGGTTTCATCTCCGTCATGAAAAACCATGGTGACCTGGGGATGTTTGATACTGAGAAGGGATTCATACTTGGTGGCTCATCCCCTTAGTAAGTGGGCTATAATCCCAGTTATAAGTGGATTAACCCTACTTATCTCATTTATAACTGGGGTTATAACCCACTTACTAAGTGGGATGAGCCACCAAGTAGTGGTCAATTATGGTGAATATCCCACCTGTCGCGATGGTTTCAGTCATGTCCATTCATGATTGCGAATCTATCCACTCATGAGAATGTTTCAATCACTAATGACATTGGTTAATCATATGGATACAACCACCATAATATGTCCTCGATTCTTAGAATTCTTTCACTTGTAGACATATATCTACTTAACTTATGACATCTTATGACCCTTGGTTGAACCATGTCATTTCTATTTCATGATCATATTCCCGTGATATCCACAGGCACTCCATTGGAAAACTGGGGGATCCGGGATCCGGATGCAGGAGACGCTGCGGCGCTGCAATGGCATGGCGGGTGGCGTTCTTTTGGCTGCAGCCTTGGTGCACCTCTTGCCGGATGCTCAAGAGGTGCCATGGTGCCCCGATGAATCCTGCAGGTAGGTTTTAAGTATGGAAAATAGCAATGTTATTTAAGATGGATACCATCTATTTTTAAGCTGATTTTTCAGTGGATCTGATACCATCTATTTTCAAGCTGATTTTAAAGAAAGGATCTGTTTTCAATCATTCATTGATATTTACTGAAACCATTGCGACAGGTGGATATTCACCAATAATAAGAGCTGTGAATCCCATCCCCATAGTTTCAAACACCCCGGAAACCATGGTTTCGTAGGGGATGAAAGCACATCTGACTGGGACCATGGAGTGGGGGTGTTTTTTCCGAACGGGGGATGGGATTCTGAACTGAGCCATGATTCCGATACTGCACTCAACCAGTATGTCACAGGATTGGACAAGGGTATTTTTCATGCCTTAATGTTGATTTGAGTGATTTGAGCAAAAAAATGGGATGTAACCAGGAAAAAGATTGATCTAAGCGGCGAAAATGGGGATTCAACAAGTAAAAATGCTGACTAACCAGCAAAAACGAAGATTTAACAAGGACGTATTGGGACATAGCTAGCAAAAGCGATGATTGAATTAGGTTGGGATCGATCGAACGTGGGATTTTTCCCCAAACAGTGTACTGTTAGAGGTTCTTACTGCTTTCTTAAGGTGTCCGCCTTAGTGTTGGATGGTGTGTCCACCTTCCCGAGGGTCTTGTCTCCCCTTATCTCCCCTTGTCTCCCTTCTTGTTTCCCTTTGTTGGATGGTTTGTCCGCCTTCCCGAGGTCTTGTCTCCTTTTTGTGTCCTGTTGGACGGTGTGTCCCCCTTCCGAAGGTCTTGTCTCCCCTTGTCTCCCATTGTCTCCCCACATTTGTGCCTGTGTTGGATGGTTGTCCGCCTTCCCGGTCTCCTAGCTCGTCTCCCAGCTTGTCTTCCTTCTTGTCTCCCAGCTTGTCTCCCAACTTGTCTTTCTTCTTGTTTCCCTTTGTGGCGGGTGGTCTGATTTTGCATTTTTTTTCAAACAGTGTACTGTTAGGGGTTCTTAAGGCTTTCTTAAGGTGTCCGCCTGGGTGTTGGATGGTGTGCCTTCCAGAGGTCTTGTCTCCTATCTTGTCGCCCAATTTGTCTTTCTTTTTGTTTCCCTTTGTGGCGGGTGGTCTCATTTTGCATTTTTGCCCAAACAGTGTGTGGTTAGGGGTTCGTAATGCTTTCTCATGTCATGTGTTTGACCCTGTTCCTCAAAAACACGTCTTGAATCCACCCACTGTTTGGGGTCTACGGTGGTGTAATTCATTATATGTGTTGATTTTCCTATTGGTCGATTGATTCGATTTTTTGCACCAAAGAGGGACCAAAGATTCTTTGAAAGTTAGCATGAAGCCTGAAAAATTGCTGTGGGGTCCAGTGTTTCGATTTGGCAGGTCTCCTGTTTAGTCAGGGGATTATACTATTATACTACCCATTATACTACATATACTACCCTATATATATATTGATTGAAGATTATCATTTTAATTTCATGTTCATTTTTTTGACGAACTAAGTGATGCTGCTTGAGGATGCTGAAAAGGAACGAACATGGTTTACCTCTGAGCGGGCCCGCGAAAAAACTCTGCTGTTTTCTTTCCTCATTTTCTACATGACTGGCAATTCCCCAGCAATGGGAGGACGCACCCGATTTTTTTTCACTCTACCACATGTGATTAACTAAGTTGGACAGCTGGAGATGGACCAGGTAAAGATGATCGCATGCATCTCTGTCAGAATTTCTAGCCTAAATGAGGGCTAACCTCCCTGTGCTGGTAGGAACTCATTCCCCTTGCTCATTGAATAGCTCTGAGTGGTGATTTTTAGGATCTGAAACCAGCCGTATCCGTTTGGGGGTCCCCACTAAATGTTGGTCTAATTTCGATGATTTGGTGCTACCCCCCATTTTAGGAAGCCTCCGTATGGTGTCTGATTTCGAAGGGGTATGGTGAGTCTATGGCATCTATGGTATACTGCATTTGAGAATCAATTGAAAGTGGAGGTGCCCAATGTGGTATGTCACCATACTTTTCACCATAATGGTATATACTTATATAGCATGTGAATACATCAATGTCAAATATACATTAGATATACCACAATGTGATCCATTCACCATAATGTCAAATAACCCCCAAAGCAAGCACTGTTGCCACGGATTGGATCTATGGATTTTCTTTCATTTTCGGGTACCGAAATTTGGGTGCATCATTTGATGAAGATGTTACGATGGGATATGATGGGATTATGAAATATAGATCTATATGAATAGACTAATATATATATATATAGATGTATGTATGTATACATATATACAGAAATATATATATATATAACATACGCACATTGTATATATATATATACATAAACATAATGGTGAGTAAGCATGGTCAGTTCAGCCATTTCTTTCTCGGCCCCGGCCCAAGCAACAGGCCTTACATGCCGCATCCGTGCGGCTGAAGGAACTCTTCACCACCACGGTGCGCGAAATCAGTGGGGGCTTTCGGGCGAACTGGACAGATGTGTGTAGAATCCTATATCGATAGAAACGAAGTACAGGTATACAAAACCAAGTACAGGTATACATATACCTTATATATACACAGTATACAGTATGTATATATATATATATATGTATACATATATATATATATATATACATACATGATACATACACACACACATATATATATACAGTAAATTCATATAATACCATCAAATAAACACTTGCAAGATGATCTTGATGGTCTTTTCTTTTGGAGCTTTGGGTCGAGTTTCTGGACCAGGACACAGACCTTGGAAAGGTGTGCGCTATTGCATTCAGCTGTCTGATCGTGAATTGAGAAAAAACGTAACTGCTAAAGGATTGGTGTACTTGCCAACTATATACCCTCTGGTAATTTAACATAGCTATGGAAAATCACCTATTTAATAGGTAAATCCACTATAAATCATCATTTTCAATGGCTATGTTAAATTACCAGAGGGTACATCCTTTTTGTAGGAGAAATGATGAAACATGGAAAAAAACTGAGATACCCTCTAGTCGTCAAGAAATGGGCCATGGCTTCCGTAGCTGTATGAAATTACCTGAGGGTAGCTGGTTTAACCCTATTCAAGTCATTAAAACACACTTGTTTTGACTTCGGAAAGAGTTAGCAATTTGACATAAAGCAATCATTCGACCATATAGATCATTTGTACAGAAGAATTTAACCATATAGATCATACACAGCCATTATTCAACACTCTTTCAGTTGGATTGTAGTAAACCAGTCCTTGAAACCATTGAAACCATTTCTATATGGAGGTTTCCTGAAATAGGGCTACCCCTAGTTCTCATCCAGCTATCATTTTCGGATTTTCCATTGTACACCATCTAGCTATTGGGGTACCAGGGTACCACCATGGTACCATGGACCCCCCAGTTCTCATGGCCCGACACGATCTCAAGGAGGAGCCCTTTCCTACAGCCAGTATGCTATCGGGGATCATGTTTTTAGTCCTGATGATGATTGAGGCGCGACCGGTCTATACGCCGGGGAGAAGCGGAGAAGCGTAACGGGTCGGGCTGTTTTTTTCGTTTTGTAGAAACGTTTGTAGAACCGTGGCAATTAATGGGACATTAAATGGAATAACCGGATTATATAGCTAGTGATTTATAGGGGGTGGAGCCACACATTCTTTTGTGGGTCAGAGTTCACCATAATTTTGTTTTGGAGCCCCATGTCCCAACTTACAGAGGTGAAAAACCCATAGTTCTAGCAATTTTTCTCACCACAGTCCGGCAGACAGTCCTGCAGCCTCAAGTAACCTCTGGGTTTTTGTTGGTATATCATCACCAAATTAAGATTTGGGCGGGATTGAATGGGGTTCTCATATGGGGATGGCAATGCCACCGGTTTCCCAGATATTTCGAGGATTTCTTTGACTTTCAGAAGCTTCCAGAACCTTCCAGCTATGAAGTTCACAGGGTATCAGGGACCCTGGGGGATCTTGTGAAAATCTATATCATCAACGCGCAGCATCTGAGAACCAACATTTGCTACATCTCTTCTTATCTTTTCTTGGTTATCTCCCGACATTAAAAAAAAGTTTCTCAGGATCCGATTTTGATGCTGAACCCCCAATCTGGGAGGGTAACCAGTCCCTCCACTCGTCGACCAAAAATTATTCCTCTTAAATGCCTGCTGTAAATTGGGCTAAATCAACCTTTGGGGACACAACAAATTGCCCTGGGGCTGGTTATGTCCCAGAATCCCATAGAAATCCCATAAAAATCCCATAAACTCAATGTAGCCGCAGCTGGCAGGCGCAAGTCCAAAACATGTCGGCGTCGAGTCTAGAAGAGGCGCCGTTGTTTAAGCGTGCAAGGGTTTTTCGGTGGTTGACATGAGAATTCACCAAGAAATGATGTTCCGCACTTTTCAGATGATTGAATTCTTATTGTTTTTGGTGAATGATATTTGTACATTAAGTAACCCCCAAAAAAAGATAGAAAAGTATGAAATTAGGGATAGTCGTTCTATTAAATAACCATCAAACAACCATGAAATAACCATCGTTTCTAGGTTTTCAGCTTTTCGTCGGAATGGCATGGGGCTTGGAAGATCCAGGGGCACCAAAGGGTAACCCTGGCGGATTCGTCGAATCGTGGCTTGGGTGAATAGCTACGCGGCTACAGCTAGTGGGATGATTTTTAGATGATCCAACAGGTAGATATATCATGATATATCATGATATATCCAGCAACCATATAGTATCATATAGTTAGTTCACCCATTTTAATGATTAATGGGATAAGCTCCGAGAAAAAAAAACACTTACAATCACCAGGGTTACTAACTCTAACCACTTACTTTCCCTCTAAGATTTCTCCCCATTTTCCGTCATTCATCATCATTTATTAACCATTATGAACCATTATCAACAGCTGTTAACCATTATTCAGCATTATTATATAACCACTATTAGCCATTATTTTTTAAATCATTATTAACGATTATGAACCATGGTTGACCATTAAACAACCATTAAACAACCATGAAATAAAGATGACTGGTTGGTGGTTTCAAACATTTTTTATTTTTCCATTCAGTTGGGAATGTCATCATCCCAACTGACGAAGTCCATCATTTTTCAGAGGGATAGGTCAACCACCAACCAGCCAATGAAATTCCCATATTTGGATATATGAAGGATCATCCATTAAGGTGATTCAGGATAGCTATAGGTTTAGATTTTGACTCATGGATCTCATGGCCATATTATATATCCATGAAACAACCATGAAATAACCATATATTCCCCGCCTCCCGAATTCAAGGCAGATCACGGCCACTACTGCGGGGCAGATCATGGGCATTTCTGTGGCGCCGACGCCATGAAAGACGCCTTGTCCAATCTCAAGGCGCTTCAACAAAAAACGCCCGGTCTCAGAGAGAAAAAAACTCAACTTCAACAGGCTTGATTTACTGAGTTTACTGGGAACATCCACGAACTAAATGGAGGGTTTGAATGGGGGAAGCATCGAACTCAACGGCGGATTTTCCATAGTCACGTTTGATGACCGGAGTGTAAATACTTGCTACATTGGACATTTTTGCAACAATGAAAATAACAAGCTACAAGATTGCTTTGGTGGGTGTACTACGGTGTAATTTTTTAATCGATGTTATAAGTACTTACACTATGTGTACGTAACAATGTAGATGTAAATGTAAATGTAATGTAAGGCAACGCAACGTAACGCAACGTAACTTAATGTATGCATGTATTCATACGTGTTCATGTGTATATATGTATATATATATGTATATATGTATATATGATATATATGTACATATACATCCCGGCGGAATTTTCACCGTCCGCATATTTATTACTAAATTATCGTTTCGCCATAGCGAAACGTCAATTTTGACTGAAAAAAAGGGGTCTCCGAACTTGAGGGTTTAACTTTTCCATCGACAACCCTCTCAATGAAGAAAATGTACCCAGATATGCGCCTTATGTGAAAAACCCAGAAGCGAGCACAATAGAAGTATATAATTATATCATTATTATATCTATGTTTATTTCAACAGCTTTAAATGTCTATCTAGATCTATATCTATATGATACTATATGTAAATATATATATATATACAACCACCCCAGCGTAGCATCACGTATGTGTGGAAGTTGCAGAAGAACGTGCAGTGGCGTAGCATCACGTATGTGTGGAAGTTGCAGAAGAACGTGCAGTGGCGTAGCATCACGTATGTGTGGAAGTTGCAGAAGAACGGGCAGTGGCGTAGCATCACGTATGTGTGTAAGTGCCAATGAACGTTATTGCCCCACCCCACCCCACCCCGCCTCATCAAAATCTATGCGTTTTGCTGGACGGTAAAAAGTCCGTCAGCATATACATATGTATATATGTATATATGTATATATGTATATATGTATATATGTATATATGTATATATGTATATATGTATATATGTATATATGTATATATGTATATATGTATATACATATATACGTATATGTATATATACATATGTATATACATATATATATATATATATATGTTATACGTATGTATGTATAATATCTCATCCCTGAAATGGCGATCTCACCAAATATAGGTGAAGCGTTTGCCCGGGTAGGCGACGCGGCCCTTGCTGAAATCAGACCTAGGCGATCCGGGGGGGGTCGTTTTCCGGTGGTTTCGAATGGAAACTCCGAAAATCAACTGGATGAGAACTAGGGGTAGCCCTAGTTTAGGAAACCTCCATATGGATTTAATGGATTTATAGTTGATTTGTAGTAACTATAAAAGTTGATTAATAGTAACTATAATATAGTTGATTAACAGCAACTGGTATTATAGTATAACTGATTTATGGTTGACAAATAGTAACTAGATAAGTTGGTTTAGTTGATGTTTACCCTCTGGTAATTTCATATAGCTATGGTAAATCATCATTTTTGATAGAAATATCACCTGTAAACGATCCATTTTTCATAGCTATGTTGACTTACCTGAGGGTAGTCATTCGAACTGGTTTGGGGTACGAATGGGCACGGGTACTGTGGGTATAAGTAGAAACCAGAGATCCAATGAGTGAGGGGGCCTTTGTTTGTGATATTTACCCAAAGATTTTTTTGGGTCTTACGATATCACAATTTTATCCCATGGTTTTGTCGTTTTATCAATTTGCCGGTTCCCTGCCCATGATTGTAGTGGTTGCTTCCATGTTTTTGCCCCTACTTTTGTCGTTGCCATGGAGTCGTGCCCATTGTGAATTTTCCCCTGCACACGGCTTCGATTGGCTATGCCAGAAGCAGAGCAGACGGTGGTAGGGGTCCTGAAGGGTGGGACTGGTTTTCGGGAGAATTTACGGCGAAAAAAGCCGTTTTCCCTTAAAGCCATCTATTTAGATGTGAGTCTGTCTGCCCCCCAAAAAATGGGACACGCACCCAACATCATTTTTGTTGTTTCGAAAATGGCTAACTTTCGAAACTGGGGCACCGATTGAGACACATCTGGATTTTTTTAAAGATTTTCTCAACTCATCCATTTTCAAAGTCAATACTTTGGAAGTATACCAACTGTGGATGGATACAGAAACATCATGAGAAGAAATGAATGCACGTTTAGGTATGGAAGGATAAGTTTTTTTGAAAGGTTTGACAGCCACAGATCTTGGTCATTTCCAAGATCCATTCAACCCACACATAAATTGTACAACACAGCTGAAACCAATGCCATGGAGGGTTGTGGGAGTGGGATCCGAAAAAAATCTTCTAAGCTACCCAATGTGTGGCTCTCGGTCCTCTCAATAGCATATCTTGGTCAAATTCCTGCCGGTTCATGCCACTTTCTTGTTGTTTTGGATGGTCGAAATCTCTATCTAAAAATTGGTCGAATCCCCACTAAGCAACGGGCGCTTTGCTGATTGTTGCCGAAGCGCTACTCCATTTCTTGTTGACGAAAATCCCAGTTCTTGTTCCGTCCGCGGGCTTATCTTCCATTGATACAAGGTGATATGATAGGTGTAGTTTCACCCAACAGCTATACCAACCCCAAACGTCCATCACTTTCAGTGAAAGCAGTGAATCTTTGCCAACTGCAAACCCATCATGAACCGGCAAACATCCAAGCAAAACATACAGAAAAGTGGACTTTTTCTGAAAAAATGTCGATCATTTCCCCAATGGAACCAACATTTTTCATATGGGTTTTCCACTTCTTTTTCTATGATTCCCTCAGGGTAAATCACATGTTTTTTGGCTGAATGTCAAATTTTGCTGGGTAAGTAGCATCATTTTTTCTGATTAAATGCAGAAGCATTTTTTCTACTTAAAAAAATACATTTTTTTGGCTGGTTAAATCACATGTTTTCTAGCTAAATCGCAATTTGTCCTGGCTAAATCACCATTTTTCATAGGTAAATCACCATTTTTCACCATTTTTCATAGGTCAATCACCATTTCCCCCCAGTGAAACGGTGCCTTTTTTGGGGCTTCGAAAAGGGCCGGGGCTTCGCGTATCGTCTCTGCCAGAGTTCTTGTCCTGGCACTGGCCATTCACTCCCTGCTGGAGGCCCCTCAAACAAGTGTAATGTTGGCAAAACAATAAACCACCCATTTGGGAATGTCTGAAAATAGTGTACCCCTACACCCAATGGTTAATGATCATTATCCCTATTAAATGGCTATAATTGGGAATACCTATAGATACCATTTTTAGTGGGTTATTCACATCCATTTTAACCCAGCTATGACTTGGGGTTCACGGCACGGTACCAGGGTTTTGACCCACTGCCATTTGGGAATGGTAAACATACCACCTATAAAAATTGTGAAATTGGGGATGGTTTCTAATCTAAAAAAAACACACCGACTAGGAGGTCTGGAGAATTCAGGGTGATCAACTCAAGATTTCAATTGATGCTAATCTACTTTCAATTGATTTTCAGTTCAAGTCTAAAACAAAATCTCAGGATTAGTAAGGATTTAAATTCATTTGAATCTACTTTCAACTGATTGTCCTTTATAACCTAAATGAAATCTAAGGATAAGTAAGGATTTCAATTCATTTCCATCTAGGTTCAATTCACTTTCCTTTGGAACCTAAAGGAGATCTAAGGATTTCAATTCATATCAATCTACTTTCAATTATTTTCTCGTTTTACCCGAAAATAAATCTAAGGATAAGTAAGGGTTTTAATTCATATCAAACTGCTTTCAATTCTGTTCTCTTTTTACCCTAAAAGAAATCGAAGGATAAGTAAGGGTTTTAATTCATATCAAAGTGCTTTCAATTCTTTTCTCGTTTTACCCGAAAAGAAATCTAAGGACAAGTAAGGATTTCAATTCATATCAAATTGCCTTTTAAAGTAACTGGAACAGCTGTATCCAAAGAAAGGTGGATTAAAGGTTTTGAGTTTTTTTTACCCCTGAAATTTCTAAGCACAATAGGGTACCATCCAAACAGTTATATTATTGAGGATCTGAGTCACTCACGGGTTACCCCTTGAAACATTATTTGGGTGCTGTTTTTAGATTGGGATTTAATAGGGACATTGGTTCTGTGGGTAAATTGCCATTTTGAAGATTCACAATGATTGGGGTGATCAAGATACAGCAGCTATAGTAAGAGGAAGGGTGGACAAACGTTTTTTTTTTGATTTAACCAAAAAAAATAACCCAAGAAGGGACTGGACCTACACAAATGACATTTTTTTTATTTTTTTTCGCAATATAGAGTTCCAGCCAACAATTTGTGTAATAGTGCACATGACAAGACTTGTGGCTTCAGTGGTGCCCCAGTGCTCAAAGATTTGGGGATAGCTCGGGATGGCTTTCAGCAGCAGCCAGGGAATCAGCATCGGCGTGCTGGCTACTCGTCAAGATCTGGGTGCGTCTGACAAACCACGAGCGACTGTGGGGTTGGACAACTAGACTTTTGGAGATATTTGAAGATGATATTTTGATACAAAGCTGTGCCACAGCTTAACTGGTCACCGGATCAAACGCCCATATGTATATATGTATACATATATATATATATATGTATACATATATATACATATATATATATACATATATATATAGATTAGGGTTACCCCCACAACTAGTGAGTTCATCTGCTACTATTAAGATGGTACCACCCCCCAATCAAAGGGTCTGAGGGGTTGACATTACACTATTTGGACTGGAGCGTTGTACCAAGATATTTGGTGTTGAGCTTGGGCATCTTTCAGATGAAGAGATGCCATCTAAGGTGCACCTAAAATCCCCCGTAAATCCACATGAATGCCAATGACATCTCATATGGTTTACTGTGGTGGATATAATGTGGATATAACAAACAGACATTCTTGGCGCGAATCTAATGTTCACATCACAATTTTTTTTGGGCCTCACCTTGTTACATTGTTGGAATTTACCTTTTTTGGGGATTCACCAGCCATAATCGATGTATAAAGTGCTACTGCCCTCTGGCCATGAAAGTCCAACCGAGAATCGGACGACCACCTTCGTTAGTATCTTCCTGGCAGTGGGAGCGCACAAAGGCCAGCCAGCCAGTCATTTCTGAGGTTCCAAGGAAGGAATCAATGAAGCGCTGTGGTTGAAACCAAGGAAAACATGAGATTAAAGCAACAGAAAGAGGTTTTAACCAACCAAAAATGGGATTTCAGTAACAACGAAGAGAGAATTCATAGCGAACAATGAGGTTCTTCAGCAACACAAAGATATATTAACCCAGTCATTTCGCCATTCCCCCGAAGCGGTTGAGCCTGGTTGTGGCAGGGTGGATTGGAGGAGAAAGGGGATTCTCCATCATAGGAGAATTTTCATGAAGTATGGGTTGGTGGGGCCCGGGGGATATCCGAACGCAATAACAACACATTCCTACACTGTAAACACATCGTCCAGTTTAAGAGGGATAGTACGGAAGATCCATAAGATCCAATGATTGAAATCTGACAGATTCCATGGATATTTTTTTTCCAAAAAATCTGACAAATGAAATCCGGGATGAATCCAGAGAATCACTGAATCCAAAAGGGGATACTGAAAAAACTTGATGTAGGCCCTAGTGTTAATCAATAATTATAGATATGGAACATCCACCAGTGAGTTCGATAATTTTGCGGGCTTTCCTCATGGGGAAGCCGTCCAGTTTTTTAAACATCCCATCTGTCATGATTCATATCAGTGACTACAACCCATACAAAAAGTAAACCTATGAAAAACCACATGGAAATATATGAATTTGTAGAATTGGACCCAGTGGCTAAAAACACATTCATTTATTTCAGTGAATTTGTGAAGTAAACCTATGAAAAACCACATGGACCACATACTTTGGGTGAAGTTTTCAGGGACTTCCAGGGTGAACTGGTGGCCAAATAAGTCAGCTGTGGCCCCCAAAGCAATCCCAGTCATGATCAGGTCGGATGATTTGGAATGATTGAATCGGTGACATATTGAGCCCATAACCGCCATAATATATATATATAATTGCATATATATATAATTACGTATATATATATAATTATATAATATATATATATAAATAATTACATATATATATAATTACATATATATATATATATAAACAATTCCCTCCGCGGCCGGACGTTCGCCCAAAGTTTCATTGGGGGTTTAGTTACGTTGTGATTTGTTCAGGATATATTTCAGATTGTCTTAGGGTTTGCTTAGGGTCGGGTATTATTTTTTCTTTAGGGTTTGTTTAGTGTTTATTTAGGGTTTGCTCCCGGTTGTTTTAGGGTCTATTTAGGGTTATTTATGGTTGATTTAGGGTTGGTTTGGAATTTGTTTAGGGTTAGGTTATTTTAGTATTCTTTCAAAGTCTTGCGGTTTGTTGAGGTCTCAGTTAGCGGCTCGAAACACTGCAATTTGCGGAGGATATCTTTGAAATACCTTCAAATGGTGATTTTGGCACCGTCTTAGGTAAGCGCAAAAATGTCATGAGAGGCAGGTAATATCAATATTTTGCATGCTCGCAGTGTGCAAAAAGCACGCACGGAAACAACACAGCAGATTGCAGCCCCGCATGGAATTCTGTGGATTTCGGGCACACGTCAGCCCCCTAACGAAATAATTATATATAAATAATATTAAATAATTACATATATATATAATTACATATGTATACATAATTACATATATATATATATGTGTATATTTAAAAAATACATATATAAGTATAATTACATAATAAATATAATTACATATATAAATATAATTACATACATATACAGTATATATATACACACATATATATGATATTTTTGTAAAATCCCCTCACTTCACCTCAGGGCTAATTCCGCCATCGGATCTTTTCCCAGCACCGTAACTTCCGCCTGCGTTACAGGCCTGGCCGGTTTCGCCATGGGCACCAAACTCATGCAGTCAACCGAAAGGCGGGCGGGATTTGACCCAGCAAAATTGGAGCTGTAAGCACCAGCAACTATCTGTATATGTTTTGGTGCTTAATATCTGTTTGGTGAAGATGTATTATATTTGTTTCAGCCATGTATATATTTTGGTCAATTCATTTGTTTACACCTATCTATCTAATCTAATCTGATCTAATCAATGAAGGACCATCGCCAGGATTTTTGGGGTTCGAATGTCGGCCAGAAATGCTACGAAGAGTCAGAGGTCTCAACGACTGGATGCACTTCACCTTAAACAGGGGGCTGAGGGCTGAGCACAGCGCTGAGGAGGGAGTTCTGGATCAGCATCCTGATGTTTGGCCTGTGCACTCCCTTAGGAGAGGGAGATCAGGGATGGTGTCTTTTCCGCTGATGTAGGTTGAACCACATAGCATCTTCAAAATGCCCCTAAAGGACCTAAAACTCAGGAGATAACTGAGATCACTGAGATAGTTTATGATATGATATTTGGAATGAACATCCATTTTTATCATACCATATTTGGAACATCCATTTTTACAACATACAGTTTTTGATCTTCACTGGCGATTGTGTGTAGCTCATCTCTGTTGGAGCATCAGGGGTAAAAGATGGCTGTGGCACCTTTGCCGGCTGTGACACAGCAAGCCTTATATCATTTGATATCACTTGTACATTTTTTTGAAAATCTATACATCATACATGTAATGTAATGCAATTTAATGTAAAGTAATGTAGTGTATTCTAGTGTAATGTAGTGCAATGCTATGGCATTTTATGGTACCCCGGCACCACCTTAACGGGTCAACATTCATCCAGGATTCACATGTTTACCTCAGAGACTTTGGCAATCTAAGCTGCCCTGGAAGTCTGACCCAGATTTCCAGTTTGAGGCTTAAGTATCTTAAGTAACGATCAATCCTACGCGGAGATATCTAAAAATTAAGTATCCAGTTTAACTCCAGTTTGCCTTTTCATGAAATCTCCATTCTAGTATCACGTTATTCACATTATTCACATTATTCCACTATTATCACATTATTCACGTTATTATTATTACTATTATTACTATTATTATTATTATCTCACTATTTCACTATTAGTCCATAGTGGAATTCACTTCAATTATCTAATCGAGGAATTTTGCTGGGCTCGTCGGTGCTGGGCAGCGTCACGGGGACAGGCGCCGCCTGTAACGAAAACGTGCGAAGCACGCGCGCGACACGAAACGTGCTGGCGAACTGGGACACGAGCTGGGTTTATTTGGAAGATCTATGGGTATAACCATGGGATCAATCTGAGTTCATGGTTATTATAACATATTATAACTGCAATAACTATAACCATGGCTATATATATATAAAGATGGTTATGAAATGATGCTAATGGCACTATGGAATGTATGGAATTTGAAGCTCCATAAGTTGGGATATCACCCCTATACATAGAGTCAGGGTCGTGAGGTAGAGAATTTACCGTCTACTATTCCTCTGAAATATCCATAAGAATATGAATATATCTGTATAGAACTAATGGGTTTCCCACATGAACATATATATATATTCACAGAAGAATTCCCAAGAATCTTCCACAGTGAAGACTATATCACCAGTAATTCCAACCTGCAGAGTTTTCTCCACAGTTTCAGCATATTTCAGCATCCAACTGAGTTCCGATAGTTTCGATTTTGGAACGGCCCCATCAGCCCGGCAGGTGTTGGTTGCTGTTTGGCCTTGGCGGCCGGGACGTGTCTTGCCTATCTTTTTTGAACGGAAAAACACAACACTTTTCTAAACAGAATATGTTTGTGTTGATGTTTATTTAACATATGCAGAATCATGGTTGAACATCATGTTGATTTAACATGTTCAAAATTATGTTTACCCATTCAGAAGCATGCTTGGGAATATGTCATCCTTTGTTTTTCGTCGACTTACCAAGTGAACTGTGCGTCAACTTGGCGATTTCATAAACCCTTCGGTAACCAAACGTGGCTGGCAATGGAAAGTCCCCGAACTAGCCATGGAGGTGTCGTTCGCTGGGACGTCGAAACTGTTCATAGGTGATCTCCCACTACTACGTTTGACATCGTTTGATCAGAGCGGAACCATTCAGAAAAATGGCTGGGAAATACCCTCTGGTAAACGTTTACATAACTATGGAAAATCACCATGCTATTAATGGCTAGTCATCAACTATATATTTCTATGAGCCATTTTCAATAGCTATCTATCTTTGTTTACCAGAGGGTATGTTGAAATGTTTCTCATACACAAGGATTGAGGATTCTATGGATTGATCAGACAATGGAGGTCCGCTGGCCGACTTCAGTGATGGAGAAATCGAAAACGGCCGAGCTGGTTGAAAATTTGCCATGCGCTCCGCATATAAGATATGATCACACAAAGTCATTTGAATGGACCATTGCAATGATGATATGACATGATATGACGGCATTTGTTGATATGACGGCAGTTTGTAGAGAAGCCCGAAATCGACCCTCTGGTAATGCAACACAGGTTGCGACATAGAAAATGGCCATAGATTTACCTATTATGGTGATTTTCCATAGCAAACTTTACCAGAGGGTAATCATCCTGAAGTAGATAGACTATGGAAAATTCAGTTTCATCTTCCCATTTGACTGAAGATTTTTGGAAGATTTCCATATTCCACCAGGATGACTTTCTGGGTAAACCTGGGTAAACTTCCCGTCCAGGTTTCTCTACATTGCGATCCCCGAGCTGCTTCTTCCTGCTGTTCAAAGCTCCAGAGACTGGAGGAGTGGATAGCCGAAACTCCCCATGAAACGTCGTCAACGCGGCTGCCAAAAATCCCCGAACTCAATGGAGGCTTTTTCATGGGAACATCAACTCGGGTTTATTCTGGATATTGTATATTTGCAGCTGGATATATTTGCTTGGTGCATTATATATTATACTGTATTTTTTGTCAGACTGCATGTGGATGCGAAAGTTCGCTGCGGCAGGTTCTGCACGATTTGAATTCCTCCTGGGCTCGTTCACCTGGCAAAATCTGCGCCGATTGCATGTCCCATTTCTGTACTGACCATGCTTCGGCAGCGTTCAAGAAACGTCGCAGGCAAACGATCCAGGTCCACCAGATGATCCACTGGTGGGAAGTGTGAGAGGAAACTTTCTGCCAACCCACGGCAAAAAGCCGGGGGATACTCTTTGAGTATCGCCGTTCGGAACCTTCCCTCAGCGTCGACTCCGATCGTTGCTGCTCGAGGAAGACCAGGTCGGATCGCATTGGCCCTGATATGCAGTGGTAGATCCGGAAGGTTCAAGGTCAGCAAGCCCGTCCTCTTTGTGCTAGTTGCACCAAGTAGACCCTGCGCACATTCTCGAAGTTGGAAACCCGGGAGATTCAAGACAAACTGCATGAGCGGAAGGCGCCAAATGCTTGCCGCATCAGCTTGTTCTGGTTCACCTGGGTGCTCCAAAACTCCAAGTCCTCCAGTGGTGGAGAGTCTCACCATTCCTTGTAGGCTAAAGCCCAGTAACACATGGCCATCGTGGAGTTGTTGCATCTCTCTCAAAGAGAGGGACGGCAATCCCCAGAGAAACTGCCGGGTCCTGATGACCCTCGGTCCTCGATGAACAGGCTGGTGTGGTCCCAGAACGACCTTGCCACGGGCATCGACCACGTGCAGCAGGGAGGTCCACTGAGCATCCCAATCACGTAGCCATCTCCCATGGCTTCTAGCCAGTATTTCTGTGTGCTGGGTTGGCTAATATCGCCCCAGGTGCTGTCGATCACCAAGTCGACCGATACGACCATGACATCTTGCAGGTGCTTGGTCTCCGCGATCTTGTCGACAAACCACTGGAAGTCTCCTGGCCTCCGTCTGCCGGAGTAAGCGTGCAAGATCACGCGCTCACGGTAGAAGACGCGAGGGCAGGTTGGTGCAAAAGGGCTCCAGGCGCACTCCATATTGGCCAAGTCATTGCACCACAGCTCGTAGAGCTCAAGGGAGTAAAGATGGGATGCTTCTGCAGAATCCGTCTCAACGGTGTGGAGGAAAGGCCAATTGGCTGCGTCTCCCAGGTCAGAAAGAAGTTGCTGAATCTGCTCACGTGTGAGGTGCGTATCCATAACAGCTTCTTCTGTGAACCCTTGGGCCACCGCTTGCAGGGTAATGCGTGTCTGAGTCCATCCAATGTAGTGCTCGCTGATGGTGTTCTGCATGGCCGCAAACAAGCGTGCAAGGTCCTTCTCATCCGTCTCATAGATCTGTAGAGCTAGAGCCCCAAAGAGCGGTTGATGATGGAGTTCAACTTGTCCCGGTGGTACATCTCGTCGATGTGGGCCATGGACCTTCTGCACTGGCAATAAACCGTCATGATGCTCCCGAAGCTCGTTGTTGATCTTCGAACCTTTGCCTGGGGCAACTGTCTGATAGATCGGCCTCGAGCTGAGTATGCCGCGGCAATGATGCGCAGTGCGCAGATGAGCCTGCAGCTTGTCATGACTGTGAAATTCAAGTAGGCAGGCTTCGCAGGTGGTGCCAGCAATCCATTGTCGTTCATGGGCGACGATTCCATGTGCACGGAAGAGATGTGCTCCTTCTCCTGCCTTTGTGCGGCAGCGTTTGGCGCAGTACATGCATCCAAAGTGGTGCTGCTGCTGATGTTCATCAAAAAGCTCTCGAACCGGAGCTGTATGGAGTCGACCTCGATCAGATAGATGGCAAAGGACATCTTGATGTAGTCGACGAATCATCATATCATCTTCTCTTTTCATGCAGCTGAGCCGGGCTCCTCGTTGCAATAGTGTTTTCCAATAACTGCGGTGGTAGCGGAGCACGTACTCCCAGTCTTCGAAATGTTGGGCAGGATCACGTAGCCTGCTCGTGTCTGCTATGAGAGCCCATAACCATTGCAGATCATCACGAAGAAGGGCCAACCAGTGGTGATCGGCACGGAAGATGGCCCACGGTGTGACAGTTTCACACTTGTAAAGGAGACCAAGATATCGAAGCCTCACAATACGGAGCATGTCCTCTGGTGCTGGCAGAGATGCCTGGGTCATAACGTCCGCATCTTGTATCGCCGCATCTGGCGGCAGCTTGAGCAGTCTGCGGTATAGGCGCAGGATGGCGGTACGGAAGTACTCGAAGGTCCTGTTGTCGCCAAATGTCCATGATTCCATGGTGTAGGCAATCTTGCTAACCACCAATGACTGGAACAATTCTGCTCTGCGTTGGAGCGAAAAAGCCGCATTCTGGAAGAGAAGTTTGCGGTGAGTCGCAAACGCAGCATTGCCAATCGCAATACGTCGACGGACTTCTCTGTGTGAAAGTCCTGTGTGGTGAGCTATGCTACCCAAGTGGGTGTAATGGCCAAGGCCAACGACCGAGATGTTCTGCGTGCCATATTCTGTGGTGATGGGCATTTGTTGGCCGTTGGCGGCACTGAAGTATTTGATGCGCAGCTTCCTGGAGCCCGTTCCTCTGAACGTGAACAGGATTTCACTTTTTCCACGGTCAAGATTGGGGGTAACCCCATGTGCTGTGCATGTCTCCAGCAAAATGCTGGCCGCCACTCCTGCTTGTCTTTCCACTCCTGTCGCTGTCTGATGAGACAAAGTCAGGCAGAGATCGTCCATCCACGTTGGCCCGAGCAGGGTATGTTCCACCATGGGTGCGTTGGCAGCGTCAACAAAAATGCCTGTGGCCTCCACATCCTCAAAGGTCTCCAAAATGCCAATCTCCCCCAGACGTCTCTCGACATTGGTGAGGATTCGAGAGAACATGTAACCAAAGACTACATCGGCAAAAGGGTCGCCAGGCCTGCTGCCGATGAGCGTGTGAACTCTGTCTGTCTGGGTCGTCATCTTGAAGTGTGTGTTGGTATGCAAGGCTTGCAGGGCTCTGCACATGTGTCGTGGTAAGCCAGCCATGCTAGTGCCAGAGGGAAGTTGGAGTAGAGCTTGAAGATCCGCCAAAGCATCTGCTGGAAGATGTAGCCGGGCTGCGACCGTGGCTAACAAAGAGTCAGGGATGTGGCCACCAACAGAGATTGGTCTCAAGACACGGTAGAACGCTTCTCTGAGATCTAGAAAGACCAGGGCGTGGGATCTACTCAGATGTTTGGCTCTTCGAGCAGCGGCTCTGATGTAGTGCACGCCAAGCGTCACCGGGATGGATTTTCTGCCGCCTATTTGGGCCGATTGTAAGAAGGCCTCATAGATTGTTGACTGGTGGTCCCGAACTGCTCGATGGACTGATTTGGCCACATGTGAACTTATCAGCAGTGAACGATAAGTCTCACATAAATGCTGGGGGCCTTTTTTCTTCCACGCAGCTACAAGGACCCCACCCTTGTGCAACAAGGCCTCTTGTCCATGTGTACAGAGCTTCAAAAGTTGGCTAAACGCCCATCTTGCCATGGACACAGGGAAATGGTGGCATAGTTCAGGTGGAATGTGATCTTCTCCCACAGCTTTGTGGTCCTTGACTCTGCGAAATGCCGCTTCAAGGTCTGTGAGTGTCGGAAGGTCAGAGGCCTGCAGATGCAGCTCACTCTGCATAAAGTGGTGCAGCTGCTGTATCCATAGATCTCGAAGATGAGGCATGGACAGTCTCTCTCCACCTTCCATAGCTCCAAAAAAGCCAATCCACCTGTCTCGTAGGGATTCAGGGCTGTCACAAGGTGATCCGTCTGCTTGCAAAACCTGAGGCAAAGGCGTGGCTTTGCGCAGCTTGGGATTGGTCGGGCCAATCACTGGCTTCAAGGCATATAGGATCTGGGATGCGGCACTGTCTGTGGGCAACTCGCCAATCGCCTTCTGAACCGCATGCCGTTTGGTCTGTGACAACGCTTTGCGCAGTGACCGTGTAATCTGCCAAAGCCGAATGCTTCGATGGACACACTGGCGTCTCACAGTCGCTGTAAACTGCTGGGATGCTTGTTGTTCTTGTTCCCCAAGTTGTCCTTGCCACGCCGCAAAGCAGCGATGCAGCTGTTCCTGTGCCAGCTGATATCGTAGTTGACGAACCTTCCTCTGCTGGTGCAGTTTGTCTGCGCGCATTTGCCAGATGTCATCGGTGATGTGGCTCTTCTTGGGACCTCTCTTGGCCACCGGACAGTTGTTGTGCAGGACGTCAAGCAAGTGCTCATTGAGATGTTCAACCTGCCTTTCAATGTCAGTGTGCCAGGGTAGTGGTTGATATTGTTGAAGTTGATGGGTCAAGGCACTGTGTCTAATTCGTGTGCGATCATGACCTCGTCCTCGAGCGCGTCGTGGAATTGATGCTGAATCTTCTTGCCACTCAAGTTGTAGAGCCGTAGCTTGATGATCACCAAGATGTCCAAAGTCCAAGTTGGAGAGGCCCATCGATAGTGTACATCGAGATTGCCAGTGGCATGGAATCAGGACATAGTCAATGCGATGCAGAGACTCATCAACTGGGCTGATCCACGTGCCGTGTGGTCCTTCATGGGTGTCCAAGGTCGCAGGCACACACAATGAATGGTCATGGAGAAGGGCACGAAAATGTCCTGTATTAGCCGTTGCCTTGTCATCATTTTGGAAGACATGCCTTCCGTCTTGTGGTCCTGTGGCCGCATTTGCATCAATCATAATGATGATGTTGTCCGCTGGTGCGTGTGTACTGATCAGGGTGGAAAGATTGTGCCACCATTCTTCACGGGCTGCAGAGTCAGCACCACTGTGTGGAGCATGGGCAGCAAGAAGCCAAAGATCAATGGAAGAGTTCTTCGGATGGACCAGGAGGTGTCTGGGATCTCTCGCAACCACAACAAAGTCACCTCTGGCAAATCGTTGAGGTTGGCCTCCTTGGTAGAGAAAAGGCTGGGCAAGATTGATCCAAATCTCAATGCCAAGGCATCCTTTGTCACACCCTCCAGCTAGCCGAAGAACATCTTGGTATTGAGACGCACCAGTGTCTGTGCGGCATTCTTGCAATCCGAGAATATTGATGCCATGCGCAACAAATTGCTCTCGGACATACGTCAGCTTGTTGGCGTAACCTTCTTGTCCTCGATAGAAAGTTTGCACATTGGCAGAGGCTGCGCTCAGCGTGAAGTTGGTCTTCTGCGTCGACGCTGGTGGTGTTTCAGACTGCATGTCAGACCTCTCACTCGGCAGGGAGATGGGTGCGAGGTCAAACCCTCCGCATGTCAGTTGGGGCAAATCCACTTGATGTTGGACTGCCATCCACAGGTGTTTATATATATATATATAAATTTATTTATCGTATGTATATAGTATATATATATATATAGTATATATATACAGTATATATAGTATATATATATAGTATATATATATATAGTATATATATAGTATATATATAGTATATATATAGTATATATATATAATAATAAATATATATATAATAATAATATATATATACATACATATACATATACATACATACATATATATATATATATGTATCTGAACCCCCAAACAAGCAGAAATTTAGTTGATGCTTTCCCCCAGCATGACTGTCATGCAGGAACTCTTCACAGAAAAAGGTCCTTGGGGGTGCAGTTTGACTAATGATATTTCACCATAGTTGCAGGGGGTTGTTTAACTCAACTTCTGAAGGTTAAAATCCCAAAAAGTAGCCATAAAACTGGACAAAAGTCCTGCAGCCCCAAGTTCATTGGATTGGTTTACGGGAAAATTTTATAGGAAAGCATTGTTTTTACCATTAACTATGGAGGTTTCCTATAACTTTTCCCTTAAACCAATCCAATGACAAGTCCCTTCTCCTTCCCGTCTCTGACGATTCCTTTACTTTGCCAGGATTGTCATGATCTTTTCCTCCGCAGGGTTTCTGGCGATGCCTCCTGACTGCACTTCGACAGGGATCACATGTGCCATGGTCAAAGCATGCTTCGTATTTCCATAAAAGGAGATGGTCATCAATCATTTAAGAGGTCTAAAAATATTCCCATGATGGTTGGAATTCCATACAAGGGGATGACCAGAAACCATGACCAGCATTTTTTTGATGGGAAATTTTCCTGTGCACAAAACAGGACCTTGCTTGGTTCACAATAAATCCCAATCGATTCGCCAGGTAGGGTACCCCCTGCCACTCATGAACCAACCATCATGTCTGAAAAGAAGGGGACGGGTCAATACTCGGAGCCCTGGTTTTACATCTAAATAGCTGGGATAAAAATCTTCATCCCTTCAATAATATGATATGAATCATAGCTTTTGATCCATCCATGCCCATATTTTTAGCCACACTCTGGGATGGTGATTTAGGGCTTTCGGCCGGTTGAAACTGCACTTTGCTGTATATTTTGGGATATTTGTGGATTTCGCTTTCCGTCACGGTGGAGGTGATGCAAAAAACCTGTTACCTGTTACGGTGGTCCACCATGAGTGTGCCGGTGCAAGGCTGGTTGACCGGTTGACGGTTTTCTGCCGTTTTTGCTCGAGATTTCCTGGGGCTTTTGGTTGCTTTCGTATCAGTTACATATCTAGAGTTTTCATTCAATGCTTCAAGTAAATGTGTCTTTGCCAAGTGGAAGACATGAAAGTTTTTCACTTTCGGAGTCCTCCAAAGTAGGGGACTTGAAGGGCCTTGCCCAGAAGTCTTTCGGCCAAGGATTTTTAAAGCTGGTCACCGCAAATGGGAGCGTACTCACTGATCCCATAAAATCACTGCATGCTGCTGGGATTCAAGATGGAGACCACCTGATAGCCATTGTTCAACAAGCAAAAGTAGCTGCGACCCAATCTGCCTTTGCTCTCTGGTGCTGCGGAGGTGACACCATCATCACATGGGGCGATCCGGAGGGAGGTGCTGACTGCTCTGCTGTGAAGGATCGCTTCAAGAGTGTGCAGGAGCTTCAGGGAACAGAGAGCACATTTGCTGCAATCCTGGCAGGTGGATCAGTGGTTACGTGGGGCCGTCCAGATTATGGCGGTGACAGCTCCGAAGTCCAAGACCGCCTCAAGAACGTACAACAGATTCAGGCCACAGAACACGCATTCGCTGCAGTTCTGACAGATGGATCGGTTGTGTCATGGGGAGATTCGAACTACGGTGGTGACAGTTCTGCAGTGCAAGGTCGGCTTCGTGATGTGCAGCAGCTTCAGGCCACAAAAAGTGGAGCATTTGCTGCGATCCTGGCAGATGGGTCAGTGGTGACCTGGGGTGACGCAGATTGTGGTGGCGACAGTTCTGCAGTCAGTGATCAGCTCCAAGGGGTCCGCTGCATCCAGGCGTCCTACGTGGCACTTGCCGCTGTGCTGAGCGACGGCTCCGTTGTAACGTGGGGGGACCCAGCAGAAGGTGGCGACTGCTCGGCCGTGAGACATCGGCTCAGAGACGTTCGGCAGCTTCAGGCGAGCCTTTTTGCGTTTGCTGCTGTCTTGGGGAATGGATCAGTTGTTACCTGGGGGAACCCAAGATATGGAGGTGATAGCTCTGAAGTTCAAGATCGGTTGAAACATGTGCAGCAGGTTCAAGCCACAGATAGCGCATTTGCTGCAGTCTTGATGGATGGATCGGTGGTTGTCTGGGGCGATCCACTTGCTGGGGCTGACAGCTCTAAAGTCCAAGATCAGCTAGTGAATGTGCGGCAGCTTCAAGCCACCAACTTTACCTTTGCTGCGATCCTCTCAGATGGATCAGTCGTGGCTTGGGGCAATCCACATGATGGTGGTGACTGCTCGGCCCTGCATGGCAAATTGGGCGCAGAGCAACTTCAGGCTACACGTTCAGCATTTGCGGCGATCCTGTCTGATGGATCGGTGGTTGCGTGGGGCAACCCATCGGAAGGTGGTGATGCTTCTTTGGTCCAAGATCAGTTGAGGCATGTCCAGCAACTCCAAGTCACAGAATGTGGCGCATTCGCAGCGATCTTGACCGATGGCTCGCTGGTTGCATGGGGTCATCCAGACTATGGTGGTGATACCTCGGCCGTGAACGATCAGCTCGGAAAGATGTAAACGATGCACACATGTCCGGATCGAGTCTATCCCCGCAGGGTGCAGACTGGGGACCACCTATTCGCTCCTAAGCAAGGCACATGTAAACAAATATGCAAACATACATGTCAACAAATGAGTCTTACTATACATGTAAAGTTATGTTTCCGCGTGGCCAAATAACGTTTGTTTTTTTTGGCGCATTGTGTCACAGCCCACCTGACTGTGTTTCAACAATTTGAAACACATCAAGTGCGGGTTGAAAGTAAAAGTACTAATGACAAAACAGTTTAATTGCTGTACTATATATATACACTTGTTCTAGTATATCTCATTTTTTCTAATCTAACATGCTTAAATTTTCATGGCGCTCAGATGCCATCCATCGTTTGTTTTAGCGGTTCCCCCTCTGACAGAGCCCAACATTCACTCTGGAGAATTCCACCATGATTAGGCGCAGATGTCCAGAAACCCGCTGTGAAAAAATTGATGACCAGCTGGATTTTTAGACACCATTTTTCTGAAAACAGGAGGTAGAGTAGATTTTTATGGATGTACATGATATACCGGATACCCTCAGGTGCTCAATTTCTATCTCAAGAACATGAAGTTGCAGGGTCACCGTCCAGGTAGAACCCCCCCATCCTGCGCTGCTCTCCGAGGTCATTCTTAGCCATTTGGTGCTAATGCACCAAAAATCGACCCGTACCGGCGCGAAAGAACCTACGGGTACGTTGGCTTGGCGACGGCGCGACGTTTTTTTTTGTGTGTTTTTTCCGGAAGGGACCAAGGGGTGTTGAACCAAAGATGTGAAAAAACCAGTGAGAAAGCCAGGGATTGAACCACTCCGCCAACACATGGATCCTTGGCAGCAAAAAAATATGAAACATAGGGAGACGACAAAGCCGAAATGGCGGTTTTGTGTGCCAAAAACACTGCACAGTTGAATCTTTCTCTACTAATTACTAAATAGCCAAGTTCGAAACTGTGGTTTAGTATTTGAACTGTATTTTTTCACTATTCATTTTGGGGGTCCAAAAAATGTGAGCTATTTGGTTCAGCGTTTTGTTAGGCATGGCATCCGAAAAACTTCAGGATGGGCTCCCGACTTTTTTTTTGGAGAAAGCGAAATTTTCGGAGTCAGGCCGTCGCTGGCCAAACAGAGGGGTGGTGAAGTGTTGTGAAACGGGAGGGTCCTGCTGGGCCTTCTGGCTTGAGTTAAGCCTCAAAGTCGTCCACATCGAAGTGGGATGTTCATGTTGAGGATGTGCCAACTAAAAACAGGGATGTAACCATATTCAATCATATGCAACTCATGAAATATGGCATTTCACCATTGAAACATCGGGATTTCAAGCAACAAAACAAATTTTGTGCACCAGTGAAGGGACTGTTCTTTCACTTCCAGAACCGCTTTCCAGGATGTGAATTAGATGATGTTTTCCCCATCATTTCTCAGCTATCCAACTGTTCAGCATCGACATTTTGGGGCTTGAAAAACACCTTTCAACAGAGAATGATACTCCATGAAGATCTGAGGTATCCTCTCGATGTAAGCCACCAGATCTATTTAATTTTATGTAGTTATTTTTTGGATTTTCTAGTTTCTAGATCTATTTAATTCTGTTTAGCTATTTTTGTTTTTTTTGGCAGTCCAAGATTTTTCTCAGAGGCACAAAAGAGTTGTGAAGCTATCTGCAGCCACAGATTCGATGATTTGACCAAAAAAAAGTGTCCAAAGTCCAGCAAAGCATGAATGGTTGGTGGTTTGGAACATATGGATTTTTCCATATATTGGGAATAATAGCCCCAACTGACACAACTGACTTTCATATTTTTCAGAGGGGTAGGTATACCACCAACCAGATGAGACAATTTTACATAACGATGGACAGTTCTCAACGTGATCCTTTGGTGAAAAGATATCTCCGACATATCATGTGGTCAGGACCCGCGGGACCGGTGGTTTTACACAATCTGTCAGCTCTTTTCAATCTGTCATAGTCGGAATGGCGGGGATGCTATGGTAAATTCCAATGTTTTTATCATGCCAAGTGTAGGGGTCCAAAGATAGGAAGAGTTTTTCCAGCATGTTATATATATATATACACATACATATATACATATGTTTTGGCATCATTTAAGGTTTCCAGCTTTTCTATCTATTCGGGGGTTGCTATGGTAGACGCAATGCCACTTCAACCACCAGTACTACATAGTACTAGTGGATGTACTAGGCATGTCCATCACTTTTCACCAGAAATGTTGACCATCATGAATGAGCCAGATAATGTACTGCAGTCATTTGGCACCAGGGGGAACTAGAGATGCCCGTGCCAATTTAGTTGCTTGTTCAATGCCTTGATTCCCTTTGACACGTCTCCACTTGTCTCGTTCTAAAAAGAAAACATCACCTCTCAAAGTCGTCGAAAATTTCTGGGTGAATTTCGAAATACCTCAAAATGACCTCGCGACCAAGGACCAAGGGTAGGTCCTTGGAAATATGTCCAATATCCTTAAAAGATCCACCCGTTCGAATGACATGATCAAATAAAATTCACCCAGACCTTCCCAAAAAACCTGGATCACCAGCCAAATTGGTGCTATCCCGGTATTTGTTTACCCCCAAACAAACAAATTCGCCAAATGGTGGTGACTCCAGTTTTTTGATGTGACATTCCATGATCGTATCGCACAATCATGAGACATACTTGGCGCAAGAATGCAATCCTGTACTGTCCAATATATATATATATATATAAAATCTTGTACAATTTGATTCACAGGAATTGTATCCCCATCACTTATCATATAGTGGTACTTATGCCACAGGTTCTCCTCGTTTCAGAGTGACGTCTTTGAAACATTTGCCCGACTGTGGCTAGCGTGCAATTTCATAGGGACTCGCGGCCCCAATGGCCCGAACGGCCCGAATGGCCCGAATGGGCAGGCCTAAACCGATGGAGAAGCAGCAGAATGGGCACTGCAAACGAACGGTGTACCAGTTCGTTAGCTCAGTTGGTGCAGATAACATCAAATAACTAGCTGAATTCTATGGATTAATGGATGTTCATGGTAGATATATCGAACTAGTTGCGGTGTGGATGATACACCAACTTACAACTGGTGGGGGCACCAGCTCTTTTCAGGCCGGTACGAAGAGCATCATGATGCTGATTGGCTATCTAACAAAGGACCGCCGCCACCACCACCACCACCACCAACAGCATCATCATGATCATCATGATCATCATGATCATCATGATCATCATGATCATCATGATCATCATGATCATCATGATCATCATGGTCATCATGATCATCATGATCATCATGATCATCATGATGATGATCATCATCATCAGTATCAGTATCAGCATCAGCATCAGCATCAGCATCACCATCATCATCATCATCATCATCATCAGCATCAGTATCAGCATCATCATCATCATCACCATCATCATCATCATCATCACCATCACCATCACCATCACCATCACCATCATCATCACCACCATGACCATCACCATCACTACCACTAGAATAATCATAGTCATCATGAGAACAATGATGGTATTAATCAAAGAAGACACGACTCACTTTCCAAACGATTGCTGAAGATTCATAATCATCCCCCTTGATGAGCCCCGGGTGCTGCCTCTCGTGCAGCTTCTCTGTCGTAGCCACCGCTGGCATGTTTCGTGGCATGTCGGGATAGGGGGTTCAGACTCCCCTAGTTGGAAACCGTGGTTCCTTGTAGGGAGGTAACATGGGGATATTCAACAGCAACAAGAGGGGTCCTGAAAGATGAAGAACCGTTTTTCCAGGATGTTATAGATGATGTGTTCCTCACAGTTTTTTATGCTTCCGACTTTTGTATCTGGGGGTTGCCGCGGTTCAGACCAACAATCGTGGGCCGTGTGGACCTAAAAATGGGGGATTGGTCACCAACATGTCAATTTCCATGGGGAAAAAACATGATTATCCATTGGAACTGGCTAGATATTCCCTCTACTCTACACACATCATCCCTTGGAATTTCTGGTCTTGGAATGTCCACTTAAACACATGGAATTTCTATATGATATGTGTGATTGTTGATATTTCCAGTGCCATGGATTTTGTTGGCATATTTGTTGGTCTTGTCTCAAAATGAGGGATATTATGATATGCCACCAATATACAAATGCAAATATGATGGGAAACTTTGATGAGAAACCTGGGGATTTGGGGCTCCCAACATTTATCTCTCAGAGCGAAACCCAAGTAGATCATCTAATCGTGGGAGATTTCAGAGTTCATTGTATTTATATATTATATAATATAGACAATATATATGATATATATATATATATTATATCATAATATAGATATAATAACATATATATATAGTACAGTGTAATATAATATATCATATATATATAATAAATATAACATATATATATATATTATAATAACATCCGATCTGCCATGCCATGCGAAGCGCGAAGCGCGAAGCCCCGACCCGAGTGCCGGTTAGAAAAGGCTCAATCCAGCTACGAGTGATGCAGTGTGAGTTTTGGAAGTGGAAACTTGTTCCTGAAAATCCATGGGTTTCCTCACGTCTTGGACCATTTTAGTATTGAAATCTATGGTGACTTGAGGATCCCCCTATGACTTCCGACACCACCAACTATATCTGACCTGGGTTTGCTGAAGATGTTTTTTGTTCAAAAAAAAACCATTGGTGAAATCACCATGACCGAGGAATCTACGAGGAAGATGAAACCATGGATGAAACTAGCTACACGTCTGTCCAAAAATAGCTACCAGGCTACTTGGAGATCCCAGGAATCCTTCGTTTGAAAACGCATGGGTTACTAAAGTTACTGTAGAAACTCAGGGAAACATCCCATTTATAGATGGATAACACCATTTTTTTCATAAGTCATGGGATAAAACATGTGAATTTTGCCCAAGAACGTGAGGGGTTCTTGGCATCTAAGGACAGCCCAGGGGCCCAACACTTCAGCCCCAAAGACTGTGGATGACCCACCATATTCTCTTGGTAACGGGGCAGTGGCTGCAAACCACCGGTTGGTTGATGATTGTAGAGGATTTTTTGTGACTGAATATGATCATAATCCGTGAACTGGGAATCTAAACAACCAAGCCGTATTTCATGGAATGACGAAGCGTGGGGTTTGAACATTTCACCACAGAGGAAACCCCTTATCAAAGATGACCATTTTTGGATGGGAGAACCCACTCCAGGCCTCCAAAATTTCCATCAGGTTCATTTTCCCAAGCAGCCATGGCTTTCAATCATTTCCTGTACAGGAATTATATCCCCACTACTCTCCGGCAATCGACCGTGGCTGGCTGGAAAATCCACTATACATGGCGCCTTTAGTGGGACAATTTGCGGCGTCTTGATACTCCCAAGATTCACATCCAGAAACACCATTGTGTAAAAACCATAGTAAACCATATGGGATGTTATTGGATTTATGGAGTCATGGGATTTCATCTGCATTCTATATATGTATAAATATATTATACACATATACGGTTCTTTGTGTATCTACACACACAAGATATCCCCAGTCATACCCTTTTTGATCTGATGCAGATCCCTATATACACATACATTAATTTATATATCATACACCGTGGAAAATCCTCGTGGAAAATCCGTTGTCACGATGTTTCGCAACGCCTTGAGGTGGTGATCACATGTAGCATGGACTACCTGATTAAAACCTGGGATACGAAGTCCTACAAGGTGATTCAGGTCAGCGGCGAAAAAAACCGAATGGCCATGGTGTTTTGGTGGGGAGAATTCTGAAAAAAACATCCCAAGAAGTCTAAATAGATATTGGATCAATCCAATGAACTGTCAAGATTTATCCGATATTTATCCAATCCAATTTATCCAAATGTTCCAAAGATGTTCCCAAGATTTTGTTGCTCAGCCCTGTAATCCTTGAGAACCCCATTCCTGTATCCAATGCAGAGGAGTTCGAAGGTCACTTGAACTTTGTGAATCAGGTGGTGACGTATCGAGAGGACCGAGTTGGGTAGGCTGATGGGAAATCCACGGAAATCCAACTGGCATTCCAAGGGACGACATTTCCGATTTTGAACACTGCTCACTTGGTGAATTTTTCTGTTTTTTTTTTTGGGGGGGTAAAGATGTTTCCTTCCGGCACACCCTGGAGTCATGACTGAAGGAAAGTCGGGTGCGAGGGTGAGCTTGAACTGATATATCTGGGGTTGCAGCTTATGTCAGATACCTCTGGAGAAGTTCTAATTGATTCCTTTAAACAATACAACCTCTTCCCGCCATGAACACCCCTGAAACCAGGAAACCAGGCTGATATTGACCCAAAAATCTGATCAAAAAACACGTTTGTCGCACTTCAAGTCTTCAAATCTCAAAACTACCAGTAACTACCAGGACACTTTAATAGACATGCAGCATGTTTCATTGCTGATTCATTTTTTCATCTTTCCCTGATGGGGGCTCCCATCAGTCAGTGGTACCCAAGCTTCACCCCAAGATTCACCGAAAGGGATCCGTCGAAGGATCAGATTTTGAGTTGCAGTGATGATTACACTTGTCGACTCTGGAAGATGGGAGCCACTTTGCGAAGATTTCCGGAGTCCACGGAGTCCGGACTTGGTTTTGAATTGGTTTTTATGGTATTTGAAAAGGATGCTGAACATACCAAAAAAGATCCCAGTGAAAAAGAGGAAATATAGTCATATTGTAATTTCATACTAGTAATTACTAGTAGTTATTTTCAGAAGCTAAGATAGATGTATTGGTAAGTATCAAGCAGCATTTTCTGAGGTTTTCTAGACTCTTGAACAGGTGAGCAAGTCTTTCGGAAAGGAGAGTTTGGCTCAAGGTTTGCATGTCCGGGAAACACACACACACATTTTAGATATATCAGGTAACATATTATAATATATTCATGATATTACTGATACATGTTATAAACACATATTTGCATAATCTTGCATATTACCTTTATATCTAGAGACACAGGGTATCATTTTGTATATACACATTTGATCATATTTGAGTAGTGATCCATACCAAGTCTTGTGCTCCATGCTGCAAGTCAACGTCACTCTTCCAAGTGGTAACGAGAAAAGCTTGCAAGTTCCGCTGTCTTCCAACGTTGGGGACTTGCGTAGTCTGTCCCAGAAGTCTTTCGGACAAAGCTGTCTTAAGCTCGTTACTGCAGAGGGGCACATTTTGAGCAATCCCACTGAATCACTGGAAGCTGCAGGGGTTCAAGAGGGAGACCGTCTGACGGGGATTGTACAAGAAGTACAGATAGCAGCAACGGAGAGAGCCTTTGCTCTGTGGTGCTGCGGGGGCGACAGAATCGTCACCTGGGGCCTTCCTGACTGGGGTGGTGACAGCTCAGCTATGGCATGGCACAAGATTCGGAGTGTGCAGCAGGTTCAAGCCACCTCGAGCGCATTCGCGGCTCTCCTGGCAGATGGATCTGTTGTGACATGGGGCGATCCAGATGAGGGGGGTGACAGCTCTTTGGTTCAAAGTCAGCTCAAGAGCGTGCAGCAGATTCAGGCCACAGATCGCGCATTTGCTGCAATCCTGGCAGATGGCTCCGTCACTACCTGGGGAGGCGAAGCATTTGGGGGTGATAGCTCTGAAGTCCGAGACCAACTCAGAAATGTGAGGCACATTCAGTCCGCATCTCATGCATTTGCTGCCATCCTGGCAGATGGATCACTCGTAACATGGGGCTTTGAAACATGTGGTGGTGACAGCTCCTCGGTCCAAAGCCAGCTAAGGAATGTACGGCAAGTGCAGGCCACATATGGTGCCTTTGCTGCGATCCTCGCAGATGGATCTGTGGTGAGCTGGGGCCTTCCAGAGTATGGTGGTGACTCCTCCGCTGTCCAAGATCAGCTGATTGCAGTGCAGCAGATCCAGGGCACAGAACGGGCCTTTGCGGCGGTCCTGGCTAATGGATCGGTCGTTGCATGGGGCAACCCACACTACGGCGGTGACAGCTCGGGGGTGAAGGATCAGCTCAGGGATGTGCGGCAGATTCAAGCCACGAAGTCGGCTTTTGCAGCGATCTTGGCAGATGGGTCACTTGTAGCCTGGGGCGATGCACGATGTGGTGGTGACAGCTCGGTAGTTTGCTGCGATCAACTGAGAAATGTGCAGAAAGTTCAAGCCTCAGTCGGGGCATTCGCTGCCATCCTGGCAGCTGGCTCAGTTGTTACGTGGGGCGATCCACGATATGGCGGCGATGACTTTGAAGTCCGCGATCAGCTCTGCAGTGTCAGGCAGATTCAGGCCACAAATTCTGCATTTGCTGCGATCTTGTCAGATGGTTCAGTTGCTGCATGGGGAAATCGATTTTGTGGAGGTGATACCTCTGCAGTTCAGGGTCAGCTTAGAAAAGTGCAGCAGATTCAGGCAACAGAGCGAGCATTCGCTGCATTGCTGGAAGATGGATCAGTGGTTGCATGGGGCAATCCAGATTTTGGCGGTGACAATTCTGCCATAGTAGAGCAGCTAAGATACGTTTAGTATGCTTTCCATGGAGTTTTAGGATTTTTCAGCCCATGAAACATGGCCGAAAGTACCGAACGCATTCCTCGTCTATCCCTCGTTTCCTCTTCTCCGTTGCGCGTCCGCAAGTGCCTCGGTTGTACCTGCCGAATTCTGGTTGGTGGTTTGGACCATTTTTTTATTATCCATTTCATACATTTTCGTATATCATATATTGGATAATCCTTCCCATTGACGAACTCATATTTTTCAAGATGGTTATTGCACCACCAACCAGAATTCGTGTACAGCAGTTGTTGGATCTTGTGACTCAAATTAGCGAGATCTGCGAGATCTGAGTGGAGGTTGAAAAGGGAAAAGGGCACGCAGGGCAAGGACAACGCTACCAAGGAGCATGACTTGACGAGTGACCAAAAGCCTGGTTGATTTGTTTATGGGTCAATTATAGGGTTACTAGTTAGCCTAGTCAACATATTGTGAATTTTGAGTCCCTTAAGGGAATCCTGTTCTTAACCAAGCAATATTTCATGGAACGGCGAACCGTGTCTGCTCATTTGGCCTTGAAAATCACCAAAGATAGTCTAAGACACCATGGTTGGAGCTACAAACAGGACCTGCAAGGTGGTTGCCGACTGACATGAAGCTGGCTTATCAGCTGGTGCTGATAGATGGATAGATTGATAGATAGATTGGTAGATAGATCGATAGATAGTGAGCAATTGATCAGGATGGTTGCTTTAGATGAGATTAGATTGGACAGATAGATAAACAGAGGATAGATGGTGGATCATCATGATACATGACAGCACGCTTCCTTCAGAATTCCTTCCCCCATTCATGTTAAACACCCCCCACACACATATCTATAAACCATAGTTTGTAGTAGTGGATTTACACATATGGACCATAGAATTGGGGGTGTTTAATATGAATGGGGGGTTTGCCTTTTCCGAGGCACGTGGGACAACCGGCAAGTTGCTGTTCACGTGCCCATGGGACATGAACTCAAGAACCCCCCAACCATTTGGGGGTAAACATGGGTAAACACCATTGACGTTCAACCAATCCATTGACGTTCCTGTGATACCACAGAAAGCTGGGACTATGACATTCCGATATTCCGCCATTCCGCAAAGGGTCAGTTTTGAAACTCAAACGAGGTACTGACTAGCGTTCCAAACAGCCCCTTTTTTGTGCCGTAGTTGGTGGTTTCAAATATGGTTGATTTTCATTTCTTCTGCCATATTTCGCATGATTGAACCATACTTCACTTGTATTTTGAAATCATATTTACTACGGGTGATGATCATACTTCAGTGGTATTTTCCATATATAACTATGTATATGGTATTTCCCATATATAACTATGTATATAATAATGTATATATGTGTATACAGACACGTCTTACAATTCCATTTTCTTCCGGTGGTTAGGCCGTTTCAGGTACTGGATCAACATGTATCCCATGAAAGCAGTCTGTGCGCTACCGGGCCAGCGGGCCGCGGTGGGAGGTCTGGACAAGACCGTGAGGACGGCGATGGGAAAAAAGGGCTCCGAAGGCTCCATGATTTACACTTTCAATACGAAGCTTTTTATATATATATATTGTGAGATTTTTTGACATACCCGTATTCTCTTTATTCAAGGATGACTGTATATATATATATATACATATATATATACATATTATATACATATATATATATATACATATTATATACATATATATATATATACATATTATATACATATATATATATATACATATACATATATTACCCCTTCATAATTGTAGGTTGGTTGGGTAGGGGCTTTATGAGGTGTGAAAGTGTTGATACCTTTTGGGCCTTGATGCCAATTTTGGCTCAAGGACCCACTTTTTGGTTTTCCGCCTTCGTGGGTCCATGGCACTTCGGCCTATTGATTGGACTGCCTGGAAGGGTGCGGCGAAGCTGTGGCTCACCACCCATCCGGGGTTCAATCATAGGGAGGTCATGCGCGAGCAGCGGCTGGAGACCTTCGAGCTGCGCGCGGCCTTCGCGGTGGCGACTGCGGCTGCCCATCGCGAGGACAGAGGCCTGGGAGCCCTGCCTTGCGACAGGTGCGGCGTGTGGACGCACTGCTGGTGCGAAGCTTGCCAGCGGCCTGCGACGGCTATCTGCACTGTGTGCGATGCCGCGGAGGCGATCTGCCACGCCTGTGAGCGTGCCGGAAAGTCCTGGCGCAGTGCCCGAGCGGCGTACGAAGCGGCGACGCCGCAGGCAGAGGAGATCGTCGAGATCTCCGGGTTCCATGATGCAGAGGGAGTCTTCCAGACCATTGACCCCCCGCTCCGGATTCCCCTCCGGGAGGTCCTCTCGGCCGATGGCGAGCCGGACGCGGCCGCCATCACCCGCCGTGCCGCCGCGCACGGCCAAAGAGGTGACGGCCGGTATGGCGCCTGAGGTGGTGGACATCCTGCTGGATCTCCCCCTCCCCCTCCTTGCACGCCTGGGCGCTGAAGGAGTGGAGACGGCGGCAGACGTCGTAGGTTTGTACCCCAATGTGGACCTGTTCATGGATGCCTTGCATGCCGTGATGGGGACACGTGTGGATGCCGACCTTAGGATGGATGTGGCGTGCATTTATGCTCGGGTTCATGGGCTAGCCCGTAAGACAAAGAAGCACGCAGTTGAGCTCGTAGTCGCCGAGCGGCAGTCTGTGTACCCCTCGGGTGCTGCTGAGCGCTGTGGAAGCCGTGAAGCGGCCGCTAGCAGCCGCGGAATGAAGCCCCTGGTGGGCCTTGGGACAGGCTCGGCCGGATCCACTGTGGTGTCTGGGCCTGGTCCTGCACCGGCCAGCACCAAAGCGGATGTAGCCAAGCAGACTAAGTTGGACCTCCTTTTCCACCTGCTGGTCGACTACGTTTTGGACTTGCAGGAGCTGGGCATCGACACTGCCCTCCTGGCTGACCCGCTGGGTCGCACAAAGGTCCGTGAGACTGTGCTCCACGGGGCCCAGAGATTGTCGACCCAGAGGCTTGGCGCTTTGATCAGCAGCTTCAAGAGGTGGGTGAAGTTTTGTGAGGAGAGGCAGTGGGCGCCTAACGCCCCGAAGCCGTTCCAGTTGGCCACTTACCTGCACTGTGTCAGTCAGGGGGGGCCCACAGCGGCATCGTCGATGCATGCAGCTTTGAAGTGGTTTGCAGACCAGGCTGGTGCGGCACTGGACCTGTCGCACCCCATGGTGGCCCCTTACCGCTTCCACGCTGTGACCCACACAGCGCGGCAGGCCCCGGAGCTTCAGCCATGGGAGCTGATCGACTTGGTTTGCCTCTTCGGCCGTGCCAAGGGCAACCACAAGCTCCTGTTGGCCTGGGTGGTGATGGCGGCGATCTCTTGCGTTCGCTGGGAACACCTGCAGCGCTCGAGTTTCGTGGCTGGCCACACCAAGTGGATTGAATTCCACTGCCAGCAAGGCAAAGCTCGGAAGAAGGGAGCCAGGCCAGCGTATGGATGGGCTCTACCAGAATGGTGCTGGGAAGGCCATGGTGTTGGCCGCATCCTCGAGGATTTTTACCGGCATGAAGTGCTGGCCACGGCGGGTTTCCTGGTACCAGCATTGCAGCTGGCTGCGGACAACCTCTGGGAAGTCACAGAGACTACCCCGCTGGTCCTTGGAAAGCCGATGTCCAGGGGACGCTTCCTGGAAATCTTCCGGGGTGCCCTCATGCAGTGTGGTTTGGATACCCACTCAGCGAAAGGGGCGACCTTTAACCGGCTGAGGCGCTTCCTGCCCACGCTGGGTAATGTGCTGGAGATTTCCGATGTGGATGCGCAAGCGGTGGGTAACTGGATTGAGGTCCCACAGGGGGGTGGCCTCACTGCACCGAGACCCAAGGCTGCCATGACGATGGGCCGCCACTACGGGGGCCATAAGGTGCTGCGCTCGGCGGTGGTCAAGGTGCGCCTCATGGAGCGCTTCCTGGAGCTGTGGAAGTTGCAACGGCAGCATGTGTCCCTCAATGCCGAGGGCCTGCTGCCTGTTGACTCCTGGCGTTGGCCTGACTTGCAGGCGTTGCACCGGCAGACTCCTTGGTCAGCAGCAGATCCAGACCTGTCCGCTGCTATCACGGATGCGGCGGCCCCGGCGCCTGAGCAGCCAGGTGAGGAGCAGCCGGACGACCAGGCAGCTACCCTGGAGGAGCCGGCAGGTGAGCCAGAGGCGGCATCAGGTGCCTCAGGCGATGACAGCAGTTCGGCCTCTGACATCTCCGCCGATGCGGATGACCTAGTGGGCATTTTGCCGGACCCTACGGCAGCAGCTGAAATCAAGTGGTTTCGCCAGGGCACCAAGACGCACCTGGTGTTGAGTGCATCTGCAAGCGATGTCTCAGCCGTATGCCACGGGGGCTCTACCTGAGTCTGGCGGAGCACTGCGGCTGGTCCTCCTGAGTCCTGAGTAGCTGCGGGCCGTACTCTAACTAATTTGTGTGTGCCAAAAAGGGCGCGAGCTGCAGGCAGTTTCACTCTCTTTTTCATGTCAGTGTGGTTTGTGTTTGTCACGCCTTATAGGCCCTCAGGCTGTAATAGGTGGACAGGCAACCCCCTGTCGGTCTCGAGAACGCGCAGCCGTCTGTTGTGCCTGTGCGAACTCTATGCTTTGGAGTTTTGGACCCAAGCTAGTAGTGTGCCAGCCCACCAGCGCGCGCCATGAGCCGAGTCGATGTGCTGGCGGATGACCGCGGCCTCCAAGGATGCTTCAAGGTGGCTAACATCCAGCAAGAATGGGCGCAGGACTTTATCACCAAGCACAAGTTGGTCACCCTGGACGACTATATCTACTCGGTTGCCCATGATACATGGGAAAAGGGTGTGGAAACCTTGGTGTCCCAGGTTCCCACCCTCAGGGACAACAACATGATCGCGCTGGCGAGGTTTCGCAGCGCTTTTGACATTGGCCGAGAGGCCTTGCGCCAGGCTGCAGCGCCAGCAACGAAGAGTGTCGATTTGGACGAGCCTCTGCCAGAGGCGACCATGAAGTCTCTCAACCAGGATTGGGCTCGCCGGTACAATTTGCAGCTGGATCCGTCTTTGGAGCCCTGTGAGGCCCTCCGGTCCAGGCTGTACCGAGAGTTTCGGAAAGGCCAGCTCACGGTCATTGAGGCTCGCAACTCGCAGTGTGATCAGATGCATGCCTGCGATGTGAAACTGCCCAACGGAAAGCCTTGCTTGAGTCGGGCCCACACCAGGGTCCAGCATGAGGAATGACTCCTTTCCCCCGGGAGGTGTGCTACCCCCGGGGACCCATGGCTGGAGATAGCTGCTGCGCTGCCTGCCACGCCTGTTGGACGGGTGGTCTCACTCAGGGACCCCCTGGTGGACCCCCTCCAGCGACCAGTTGACGGAGCGAGTGCTGACCGACTCCGGGCGGCAAAGCCAGTGGCATGGCGAGGTTTGGGGGATCTGCCCCAGTTCACGTGGGCCAAGCCGCTTGTGGGCTCATGGCTGGTGATCGACCTTTGGGCTGGCTTCAGTGGGCTGTGTGTGGCCCTCCTTGCGATGGGGGTGCGTTTTCACGCAGTGGCTGCGGAAAATGACACTTTCCCTGCCCAGGTGGCGGAGCAGATCATGCCGCAGGTGGTAGCTGTTGACGCGGTGGAAACTGTGACAGGGGCCATGTTCCGTCCGTTTCTGCAACATCGGCAAGTCAGAGGCATTATTTTAGGCGGAGGGTCCCCCTGCCAGGGCAACTCTATTTTGAACACTGGCCGAAAAGGTTTGGCTGATACCCGAAGTCAACAACCTCAAGAGTTGGTACGCATCCGCCAGGAGCTGCAAGACCTCCCAGAATGTGCGACCCTGGAGATCGTCACGTTTCTGGAAAACGTGGCCTCTATGCCCCGCGAAGTCATGGACCAGTATACAGCATGGATGGGCTTCCCACCTATCCTCATTGATGCGGGCGCTTGCGGATGGGTGCAACGGCGTCGGCTGCTGTGGTTAGGCCAGGGTCGCTGCGGGGTGTCACCTCGTTGCACCCCCCCCGACGGCTGGGTATGGGTCGAGTCTGGGACCGATCCCCCCGAGCTGCGCTGGAAGGGACCCAAGCCAATCCCGGCCAAGGTTCATTTTGATCAGAGTTTTGGCCCCCTTTTTGATGCTGCCGAAGTAGTTAAGGCTGCGGGACAAGGTGCTATGCATCCGTTCACCAGGGAGTTTAGGCACCCCTGTGATCCGGTCAAGCTGGTTCCGCCAGAGGCGGCTGCTAGATTCTATCAAGATGAGAGGCGGTTCCCCCCGTCAGCCTATACAGCAGAGAGTTTGCTTTGGCGCCGGGATGAGTGGCGTCAGCCGGGGTCTGAGGAGCGCGCCCAGATGATGGGGTTTCCTGCGCAGTGCCTTCAGGCTGTCCAGGGACCAGCGGCGGTGCGTCGCCAACGCCAAAACAGTATGCTTGGCAACGGCTTCCACCTACCGATGATTGTGGCACTTTTCTGCTTGCTGCCAGGTGTCTTGAGTATGAAGGTACCGCGACCGTTGTTTGACCTCGCGGAGCGCAAGTTGCAGGAGCGTTTGGCGGGCACGGTATGGGAACCAGGCCGCTTGCAGGTGTTCCCTGGTTTGCTTTCTAGCGACCAGGTGGTGCAATCCATGCAGCGGACAGTATTCGGATCCTTGCCAATCTCTGCAAATGTGTGGCAGTTGACCGCCACCCGGTTGGCTCCCTTGCCAGTGTGGCACCTGCAAGCCTTTACTGCGTGGGCAGTCGGCCGAGGCGCATCATGTGATCAATTAGGGCCCACCCCGCTGACAACTAGCCATCGGACAGCTCTGTTTGCAGGATTGACCGGGCAGCGCTACCCGGGCAATTCTCGGAAGGGCCTGGACCATTTGCTGCCGCCAGGCGTAGGCAAGGAGGAGCATATCAAACAGGCTGTGGGCCTGCCATCGCCCTTTCGCCTTCGCGAGTGGCCTGAGCAAGATGTGGATTTCGTTCTACACGCCATTGCAACATGGCAGCAGGCGCTGATCGGGTACTCTGAGCAATGCCGCCAGGTATTTCGACAGGTCTGCACAGCGCTGCTACCATTGGATGATGAGTTGCGCAAATTCAGGGTGCACAGTGCAGTGAAAGTGGCCGCTGGAAAAAGGCCCGCCGTTTTGGCGTTTTTGACTGTGATCCTGCGATGGCCCGACTTGCAGCAACCTTTGCAGATGTTGCAGGGCTATCCTATTGTCGGGGCACTGGAGCCTAGTGGAGTCTTCCGATCCATTACTGCTCGTGAAGCCTTGCCAAAAGAGGAGTGGTTGGGGGATGCAGCTGTGGCAGCTGTGGAGAGGATTGAGAGCTCTCGCCCTCCGCGGTTTGCCGAGTGCATCTATGCTGCCACAGTTCTTGAGCAACAAAAGCAATTTTGCTCGCCTTTCCTTACCAAGCGCTGCATGGATGAGCGTTTTGGCGTAGGACAGTGGCGACCGCTGCAACGTTTCTTGATTGTGCAGCCGGATGGAAAGGAAAGAGTCATTGACAATGCACGTAAGACTCTCCACAATAGTTCAACGGCGATGATGGAAACGATTTACACGGTGCACTTGGACTTCATCCCGGCCGTTATCAAGCAACTGGCGCACCGGCTTCAGGTGACTAGCCCAGGGGATTGGAGTGTCTTCCACCCCTGGGCGCATTTCCGCCTGGGTACGGATGATCTGCCGGATGCATATCGTGGTCTGCCCGTGTGCCCAGAACATTTGCCATACTCTGCTGTGGCAGTCTGGGTACCCCAGCAGGGATGGCGTTACACTATCTTGTGGGGACTGGCCTTTGGACTCGAAAGTGCTGTAGTCTCATTCAACCGACTGCCTCAGCTTGGCATTGCCGCTACCAGAAGATGCCTCTATGGTCTTGCAGCAGCCTATTTTGATGATGAGTTGGCCGTTGAAGTGGTGGCAGCAGCCGACATTTCACAACAAGCCTTGCGGCTCTTGTTTACTAGTATTGGCGCTCCGCCCCAGAAAGCCAAGGGATTTGCTCCTTCACCAGATCGCCACTACCTGGGAGCCGCGATTCACTTGGGCTCCGTGATGACAACGGGTTGTGTCCGTATCCAGCCAAAATTCGCGACGGTGGCCAAAGTTGCCGGTCGTCTCCGAGTGGCCATTGCCAACCGTTGTCTTACCAAAGAGGAAGCTGGCAAGCTCCGGGGCGACATCACTTGGATGTTTTCTTTGGCGGCGGGTCACATGGGCCGTATCGCCCAACCTGTTCTGGCCAAGTGCAGCAGTGATGGCCCGACGCCAATGGATGATGAAGATGTTGTTACCTTGCAGGTACTGCTACGCATTGTCCTGGACTGTCAGCCTCGCGACGTCCAGGTGTGCGGTGTGGATAAGGTGCCTTTGGTTATCTACTCAGATGCCTCTTTTGAGCAAGGAGTCCTACGCCTGGGGTGGGTAGTGATGTGTCCGGGTACTCCTACCAACCTCAGGGGGGGACCTGTGAGGTGCCACCAGAGGTCATAGATAGCTGGGTGCCTTGTCGCCAGCAGATTTATCCAGGCGAGGCCATTGTGGCCCTGGTCATTCCGGCTCTCTTGCCTGACCTACTACGAGGCCAGGATCTCCTGTGGTTCGTCGACAATGAGAGCGCGACCAGCACTTTGATCCGCTGTGTCTCATCTCAGTGTGATGTCCACGAGATAGCGCAGTTCTCGCACTATCTGCTGAACAGTTTGGACGCCCGGGCGTGGTTTGAATGGATTGACTCCGAGTCTAATCTTAGTGATGGGCTGAGCAGATTAGGATTAGCAGATGAGTGGACACAAGCCCAGGGCTGGTCCCTCACCTCTTACACTTTTCCTCCTGGCCTCAGCCGCGGAGAATTTCTTCAGTCCCTTCAGGTTGGCGTGGTTTAGTGAACAGTGGGTGATATGAACAGTGGGTATGTGTTTGGACTCATGGTAGTCTAACCATACATGTGTTTAGACTGTTGGGTCTAACCATTTTCCAGATGTGTGTGGTGTAACCCCCCATCTGTGTTTTGACCCATTGTTATTTGATAGCAATGAGGGGTTCACTACCATGCCGCTACTGGAGGGCTGGTATCTTCTCACGTGCAGCGTACTAGTTGAAGGAAAGTGAAAAGAGTGCTGCAGAAGGGTTCACACTTTCTTACCCCTTCATAATTGTAGGTTGGTTGTGTAGGGGCTTTATGAGGTGTGAAAGTGTTGATACCTTTTGGGCCTTGATGCCAATTTTGGCTCAAGGACCCACTTTTTGGTTTTCCCCACCCTCCCTCCCGGATCTCCTCTGCGGAGTGAAGGGAGAGGGTCTTCGACGGGACTTGACCCTCTAACATTGGTACTTTACCATGTAGGGGTATGTGTTTGGACTCATGGTAGTCTAACCATACATGTGTTTAGACTGTTGAGTCTAACCATTTTCCAGATGTGTGTGGTGTAACCCCCCATCTGTGTTTTGACCCATTGTTATTTGATAACAATGAGGGGTTCACTACCATGCCGCTACTGGAGGGCTGGTATCTTCTCACGTGCAGCGTACTAGTTGAAGGAAAGTGAAAAGAGTGCTGCAGAAGGGTTCACACTTTCTTACCCCTTCATAATTGTAGGTTGGTTGGGTAGGGGCTTTATGAGGTGTGAAAGTGTTGATACCTTTTGGGCCTTGATGCCAATTTTGGCTCAAGGACCCACTTTTTGGTTTTCCCCACCCTCCCTCCCGGATCTCCTCTGCGGAGTGAAGGGAGAGGGTCTTCGACGGGACTTGACCCTCTAACATTGGTACTTTACCATGTAGGGGTATGTGTTTGGACTCATGGTAGTCTAACCATACATGTGTTTAGACTGTTGAGTCTAACCATTTTCCAGATGTGTGTGGTGTAACCCCCCATCTGTGTTTTGACCCATTGTTATTTGATAACAATGAGGGGTTCACTACCATGCCGCTACTGGAGGGCTGGTATCTTCTCACGTGCAGCGTACTAGTTGAAGGAAAGTGAAAAGAGTGCTGCAGAAGGGTTCACACTTTCTATATATACATATATATATACACATATGTATATTTATGTATGTTTACATATATAGTACATACCGTTATTATAGAAGATATTCAGGAATTATCGGAAAACCGATCTTCTATTTGAAACGGGTTTGGACGCGCGGAAAAAACCATTTCAAATAGAAGATAAACTAATTCAATGACCCAAAATGGTAGAACATCCGGGATGTTGGAGCTACTTTGGCACTCTCCGCAACCATGGCCCCGGGAGGGTCCAAACTAATATCTTCTATTTAAAAACCATTTAGACCAACACCAAAAGCACAAACTTGGTGGATCATCCAACCGAATATCTTCTATTTAAAAAATGGTTTGTCGCACAATCTTGTTCTGAAAATTTGGGGTTGGTATAATGAATATCTTCTATTTGAAATGGTCTTTTCCGCTTCCCCATTGGTTGTTTGACAATATCTTCTATTTGAAAATGGTGTCGGCCAATCTTGTTTTGAGAATTTGGGATAATAATGCCAATATCTTCTATTTGAAAACGGGATTTCCTTTTTTTTGGCTTGTGATGGGAACCTCTGGAAAATAATGCCAATATCATCTCTTTGAAAACGGGATTTCAGTTGTTTTTTTTGGCTTGTGATGGGAACCCCTGGAAAATAATGCCAATATCTTCTATTTGAAAACGGAATTTCCGTGTTTTTTCTGGGCTTGTGATGGGAACCTCATTTGAAAACGGGATTTCCGTGTCTTTTTGGGCTTTCCTGGAAAATAATGCCAGTATCTTCTATTTGAAAACGGGATTTCCCTTTTTTTTGGCTTGTGATGGGAACCTCTTGAAAATAATGCCAATATCTTCTATTTGAAAACGCGATTTCCCTTTTTTTGGGCTTGTGATGGGAGCCTCTGGAAAATAATGCCAATATCTTCTATTTGAAAACGGGTTTTCCCTTTTTTTGGGCTTGTGATGGGAACCCCTGGAAAATAATGCCAATATCTTCTATTTATATTTGAAAACGGGATTTCCGTTGTTTTTTTTTGGCTTGTGATGGCAACCTCTGGAAAATAATATCAATATCTTCTATTTGAAAACGGAATTTCCGTGTTTTTCTGGGCTTGTGACGGGAACCTCATTCGAAAACGGGATGTCCGTGTCTTTTTGGGCTTTTCTGGAAAATAATGCCGATAGCTTCTATTTGAAAACGGGATTTCCGTTGTTTATTTTGGCTTGTGATGGCAACCTCTGGAAAATAATATCAATATCTTCTATTTGAAATCGGATTTTCCGTGTTTTTTCTGGGCTTGTGATGGGGAACCTCATTTGAAAACGGGATTTCCGTGTCTTTTTGGGCTTTTCTGGAGAATAATGCCAATATCTTTTATTTGAAAACGGGATTTCCCTTTTTTTGGGCTTGTGATGGGAACCTCTGGAAAATAATGCCAATATCTTCTATTTGAAAACGGGATTTCCCTTTTTTTGGGCTTGTGATGGGAACCTCTGGAAAATAATGCCAATATCTTCTATTTGAAAACGGAATTTCCGAGTTTTTTTTGGGCTTGTGATGGGAACCTCTGGAAAATAATGCCAATAGCTTCTATTTGAAAACGGGATTTCCGTTGTTTTATTTGGCTTGTGATGGCAACCTCTGGAAAATAATATCAATATCTTGAATTTGAAAACGGAATTTCCGTGTTTTTTCTGGGCTTGTGATGGGAACCTCATTTGAAAACGGGATTTCCGTGTCTTCTTGGGCTTTTCTGAAAAATAATGCCAATATCTTCTATTTGAAAACGGGATTTCCCTTTTTTTGGGCTTGTGATGGGAACCTCTGGAAAATAATGCCAATATCTTCTATTTGAAAACGGGATTTCCCTTTTTTTGGGCTTGTGATGGGAACCTCTGGAAAATAATGCCAATATCTTCTATTTGAAAACGGGATTTCCCTTTTTTTAGGCTTGTGATGGGAACCTTTGGAAAATAATGCCAATACCTTCTATTTGAAAACGGGATTTCCGTTGTTGTTTTTGGCTTGTGATGGCAACCTCTGGAAAATAATGTCAATATCTTCTATTTGAAAACGGAATTTCCGTGCTTTTTCTGGGCTTGTGATGGGAACCTCATTTGAAAACGGGATTTCCGTGTCTTTTTGGGCTTTTCTGGAAAATAATGCCAAGTCTTCTATTTGAAAACGGGATTTTCCTTTTTTTGGGCTTGTGATGGCAACCTCTGGAAAATAATGCCAATATCTTCTATTTGAAAACGGAATTTCCGAGTTTTTTCTGGGCTTGTGATGGGAACCTCATTTGAAAACGGGATTTCCGTGTCTTTTTGGTCTTTTCTGGAAAATAATGCCAATATCTTCTATTTGAAAACGGGATTTCCCTTTTTTTGGGCTTGTGATGGGAACCTCTGGAAAATAATGCCAATATCTTCTATTTAAAAACGGAATTTCCGTTGTTTTATTTGGCTTGTGATGGCAACCTCTGGAAAATAATGCCAATATCGTCTATTTGAAAACGGGATTTCCGTGTCTTTTTGGGCTTTTCTGGAAAATAATGCAAATATCTTCTATTTGAAAATGGGATTCCTCTTTTTTTTGGCTTGTGATGGGAACCTCTGGAAAATAATGCCAATATCTTCTATTTGAAAACGGGATTTCCCTTTTTTTGGGCTTGTGATGGGAACCTCATTTGAAAACGGGATTTCCCTTTTTTGGGCTTGTGATGGGAACCTCTGGAAAATAATGCCAATATCTTCTATTTGAAAACGGGATTTCCGTTGTTTTTTTTGGCTTGTGATGGGAACCTCTGGAAAATAATGCCAATATCTTCTATTTGAAAACGGGATTTCCGTGTCTTTTTGGGCTTTTCTACAAAATAATGCCAATATCTTCTATTTGAAAACGGGATTTCCCTTTTTTTGGGCTTGTGATGGGAACCTCTGGAAAATAATGCCAATAGCTTCTATTTGAAAACGGGATTTCCGTTGTTTATTTTGGCTTGTGATGGCAACCTCTGGAAAATAATATCAATATCTTCTATTTGAAATCGGATTTTCCGTGTTTTTTCTGGGCTTGCGATGGGAACCTCATTTGAAAACCGGATTTCCGTGTCTTTTTGGATTTTTCTGGAAAATAATGCCAATATCTTCTATTTGAAACGGGATTTCCCTTTTTTTTTGGCTTGTGATGGGAACCTCATTTGAAAACGGGATTTCCGTGTCTTTTTGGGCTTTTCTGGAAAATAATGCCAATATCTTCTATTTGAAAACGGGATTTCCCTTTTTTTGGGCTTGTGATGGGAACCTCTGGAAAATAATGCCAATATCTTCTATTTGAAAACGGGATTTCCGTTTTTTTTTTGGCTTGTGATGGCAACCTCTGGAAAATAATGCCAATATCTTCTATTTGAAAACGGAATTTCCGTGTTTTTTCTGGGCTTGTGATGGGAACCTCATTTGAAAACGGGATTTCCGTGTCTTTTTGGGCTTTTCTGGAAAATAATGCCAATATCTTCTATTTGAAAACGGGATTTCCTTTTTTTGGGCTTGTGATGGCAACCTCTGGGAAATAATTTCAATATCTTCTATTTGGAAACGGAATTTCCGTGTTTTTTTCTGGGCTTGTGATGGGAACCTCATTTGAAAACGGGATTTCCGTGTCTTTTTAGGCTTTTCTGGAAAATAATGCCAATATCTTCTATTTGAAAACGGGATTTCCCTTTTTGGGCTTGTGATGGGAACCTCTGGAAAATAATGCCAATATCTTCTATTTGAAAACGGAATCTCCGTGTTTTTTCTGGGCTTGTGATGGGAACCTCATTTGAAAACGGACGGGATTTCCGTGTCTTTTTGGGCTTTTCTGGAAAATAATGCCAATATCTTCTATTTGAAAACGGGATTTCCCTTTTTTTGGGCTTGTGATGGGAACCTCTGGAAAATAATGCCAATATCTTCTATTTGAAAACGGGATTTCCGTTGTTTTTTTTGGCTTGTGATGGCAACCCCTGGAAAACAATGCCAATATTTTCTATTTGAAAACGGAATTTCCGTGTTTTTTCTGGGCTTGTGATGGGAACCTCATTTGAAAACGGGATTTCCGTGTCTTTTTGGGCTTTTCTGGAAAATAATGCCACTATCTTCTATTTGAAAACGGGATTTCCCTTTTTTTGGGCTTATGATGGGAACCTCTGGAAAATGATGCCAATATCTTCTATTTGAAAACGGAATAGAAGCGGGACCCGGCCGGAGGTACTTTTGCACTCCCCTCTTCGGGGGGTCACCCGGGTCTGGGCGTCAATGTTCTATTGATTTTATTAAAAAAAATCCCTGCAAAAAATCACAAAAAATTACAGTGGGACAAAAGATTTACAAATAGACGATATTGCAAACATCATCCCAATGTTGATGGTTGCAAAGTGCAAAAGTAGTTCAAAAGACCAGCAATCCAACAGTAACCCCTTCAACATTGGGATGATCTTTGCAATATCTTCTATTTGAAAACTGTTTTTCATGCATTTGGGATCTGTCGAACTCATGGGGTTACAAATGAATATCTTCTATTTGAAAACAATTTGGTGGAACTCTCTGGGTTCCCTCATGAAATATTATCTTCTATTTGAAAAGTGTTTTTCAGTACTCCTCGAATATCTTCTATTTGAAAAATAAATAGCATATTAGATTATCTTCTATTTGAAAAGTGGTTTGAATCACCATCCCTCAATCAAAAAAGCTAAAGAACCCATGGTTTTTGAACAGTTTTTCACCGACCCCCCTCCCGAAGGCGAGAATGCCAAAGTACTTCCGGCCGGGTCCCACTTCGGGAGGTACTTTGGCACTCTCCTCTTCGGGGGGTCACCCAGGTCGGGCGTCAATGTTCTATTGATTTTAGATAATTTCCCTGCAAAAAACACAAAAAATGGCAGTGGGACAAAAGATTTTCAAATAGAAGATATTCCAAAGATCATCCCAATGTTGAGGGGTTTATTCTTGGATTTTTGGTCATTTGAACTACTTTTGCACTCTGCAATATCTTCTATTTGAAACGCGTTTGGCCGCACCCCCAAAAAGCATCTTCTATTTGAAATAATTCCTGAATATCTTCTATAATAACGGTATATACTATATATATATGCATGCATATGTATATTTATGTATTATACATATATATGTGTATGTATATACACATGTATATACATATGTATGTACATATATATATATATACATACACACATGGATTTACATGGATGTGTATGTGCTATGATCGAAAGTTTGATGATATACCGATATTCGGGGATGGTCATCAATCCATTGATAAGGATTGATATACCCATCGTGGTTGGATTCCGACTATGGGATGGATGACCAGAAACCAGATAGTATGTTTCGACCCGAGCACATGTGGTATTATAGCTGATTTATGCTAAGTTGGTGTCGCTGGTTACCCAACTTGGTCATTTTGCACCGTTTGCGAAGTGGAAAATCACCGAACCACATGGACCATGGCGAACTGTTAGCGAACTGTGATGATTTCCAATGGACTTACGACGTCAAAACAAAAATGATGGTTAGGATTCAGGGACGCATGATACCAGCTACTTTCAGGTTAGTGAATGATTTTTACTGAGCCATATATATAATGGATAAATGATGGTTGGTTGATTGTTGATTGACGCCCTTGGATCTTACGGGTGATGTCAGCCCGAAAACATGTCTGAGACATCCCCACTTTTTCTTGAATTCCAAGTTGTTCATCCTTATCTTGTCATATTCAGGTGAGTTCCCCCTGGTGATGTTTGTTGGTTTATAAACACCATGAATCATATAGAAATTTGATGTCGCATATCATAAATCACAGTTCTTCCTTTTTTCATGATCATGGCTAAACAAAATGATGCCATTTCATTCGCCAAGGCGGGTCTCTCACCTTTAACCCAGTAACCATCATTGAGGGCAACATCAACAAGATAGAAATTGCTAACATATATTTAATTCAGTTGGTCTATCTATATACATATGTATATATATATATATGTAGTGTAACATTAACCCCTGACATTTACTTTTCTATTTTTTTTGGGAAGGGGTTAGTATATTCAAACCCCTGTGTTGAGATCTGCTAGGATTTTCAGCTTGGTCACGGGCTGCACACTCTTCAGGCGCTGTTGAACTCCAGGGATTCTGCTGAAGGTAAGGTGAAAACGGGTCAATTTACTGATTCAACGAGGGAAAATTGTGATTTCACCAAGAAACATGGTGATTTACCTAGGAAAAACCACGGAAAAACGGGTTGATGTGGTAAACCCAATAGTTTTCACTATCCCCGATTGAGTATGACATTCGGTATACCCCTCTGACTGGGATGATTTTGGTCATGACCCCAAGTCATGATTGGTTACTGGGATGATTTTTTTTGTTTTAAAACATTAGACCAAATTTGGACCAAACTTGTGGGGATTCAAGGCAACCAAGTTGGGATTTCTGCAATTTATATGTGGATTGGCTGGGGATGAAGCCATGGGTTGGACCGTGGCTTTCTCCATTGCCGCCATGACACGTGAAAACACCCCAGGATGATGGGCCATAAAGAAGTTGGTCCCGACAAGAGCCTTGGTGACCGAGATTTTTTGGGGTGGGAGAGGCCTCTTTTGGTGCCAATCCAGAGCCCTGGTTGTGATTTTTCCTGAAGTTTTTTCATGGACATTTAAGTCATATGGGTATGGATCAATACCTATTCATACCATTTTTAGTGGGATGAACATCCATTTACCAGCTATTTTGATGTGAACTACAGGGGTACAAGGTTTTGACACACTGCCATATGGACGTAAGAATTATTTGCATATAGAACCAACCAAGTCAGTAAACGTATAGGGATTGAATGGATTTTGGCAAACTTGATCAGGCGTGCTCCTGTCCATTGTTCGTACATAATAGATCATATTACAGTAGGCACAAGGGCGGACAATTGGTAATTTTACCTCTTTATCTCCCCATGTCACCCCTACGTATCTGGCTGACTTTTGGGTTGATCACGCACTTTCCTTCCCATAAATTGCTGGTGAACTGTCCTGATATCTCATATATCATTCCGTATGTCCATCATTATAGCTGGCCTGACATTTTTCCATCTTATCCACCATAATCCCACTATCCTCACCATCCTCATGTATCAACTCCCTGTCGAATTCTTGTATGAAGTGTTAAATTTCCCAGATGTTTGACATGATATCCCATGATATTTTCACAGATGTTCAGGATTTTTCCCTTAGATTCCATGATTTTTCACTTGGATCTTGGCTAAAATCCAGGAACTTCTTCCAGCTCGAGGGTTGCGGCTCCATCTTCTCCGTTCTGCACCTGCGCCAGAACATCTTAGCCTCCGGCTCGGACGACAGCACGGTGCGACTCTGGGATATTGCGCCTTGAACAGAAAACCGAGGAGGTTGTCCTTGGGGCAAAATGGAGGGATCAAGAAAAAAAGATGGAGGGATTTAGCACTAAAACATTAGTATAAAATAGTAGAAATATAGGGGTTGGGATCAAACGTTTTTTGGATCTAGCTAAAAGTAAACATTCGTATAAATAGTGATTCCAGCTCCAATTATATAATTTTCATATCTGATCATGAACCCCATCAAACGTTATTAGGCCTTAAATAATAGGCCAAACAAACTGCGTATTTAATTTTTTGATTTTCTGCTCCATTATTGTTGTTTTTGATATTAGGGACTGGGATTGCAGAATGTAATATAATATCATGTAACGTAATGCAATGTAACCCAATGGAATGCAATGGAACGCAATGGAATGGAATGCAATGCAATGGCATGCAATGCAATGTAATGCAATGCAACACAACGTAACGCGATGCAACGTAATGCAAGCAATATAATGCAATGCAGTGCAATGGAATGGAATGCAATGCAGTGAAATGCAATGTATGTATATGCATATATAATTATATAGTATATATATATATACATATGTACATGCATGTGTATGTGTCTGTGTCTGTGTCTGTGTATGTGTGTACATTTGTATATACAGTATGTTGAGGTGATTCTGGGTGGATTTTTTTCGGGGCCGGGCAATCTATGTGAGTCGCATTCGTCGTCCATGAACTTGGACCTCGAATGCCGATGGGAGAAGAACTCACCATTTAGATGCATGTGGCACCCACCATTTGTGGCATATTTTTGCCCAAGCAGTGCCCCAGAGGTTTTTTGTCTTCGTTTGCCCACTCAGTGGCCCACTCCTGTCTCAAAACGAAACCATGCAGTTGATAGTCTGGATATGGCTAACGCCCATTGACAATCAGTTCGGACCGGTTTCAGTTCCTTAAAGAGACCCTTTTGTGGGTACCAGTCCAGCAACTGGTACCGTGTTTCCCTTCGCCACATCCATCGATCATCTCAGCATGTTAGATGTCCAGCGTGTCTCCAACTGGAGATTGTGATTCTGGACCAAAAGGATGGTGATAGTCCAATGATACATCTCAGAAAATATAAATTATGTGGTTGCTATCCTCATTGTATCCTCATGGTGGTTATACTCCCATTATATCCTCATAGCCAGATGCCCAGTGATGCCCAGGACACCGGAAAGTGTTTGAGCGTTAAGATCGGACATCAGGGCTATCGCGAGGACGTCGGCGAGCCGGGTGTTGGCTGGACGCTTTCCGAAAGGCCTGGTGACCGTGACCGTGACCACCGGCTGGTGACTATGACGCAGTTCGCTGGCGGGGATATTTTTCAATCTTCTATGAGTTGGGGTATCAATCATCCCAATAATCATCCCATTATATAATCTTCTTGGGCAAATTCTTGTTGGTGAAAACTTCTCCATCAAACAAAAGTGCCCTGCGAAAAGCTACCCTTTTGACCCGGCGAAACGCACCGCCCTCGGATCTGCCGGCAGGTTCGCCACCGTCACCAAGATGTGCCACTTGGGTAAGGTGCGGAGGTACATATTTGGGCAGCCTTTGGTGGCGATGGACATTTAACCAACAAACATGATTCAATTTGTAATAGTGGGAGGTGTGGGCAACACAGGTCTATATTGTTTTAGATAAACAACAAAAGATGGGGAAGAGACCACACACATAGGGATAACACCCACAAACATGGGACCAAAACAACATAGGATCGATGGGGTTGGCTCACCAGATACAGCCTCCTAGGAATATACGGTTGCGCAGGAAAAATGATTGTTGTGGAGCATCGGACGTCCAGGGATTGTTGGTTTTGTATGGCCTCGATTTCTGAATGTAATTCACAGTGCATAAATATAAATGGGATGATATTCTCTATAATGTCGATATGTTGGTATAATATCTATGTATAAGCATCTAGAATTAACTATGCGAATATCTGTTCTCAAGCCATCTTGATATGTACACATAATTATGAGTTTGTATATATATATTATTATATTATATTCATATACATATACACATACATATACATAATTATACATATACATATGTATGATACATGCATGCAAGCTAGCTACCTACGTACGCGTGTACAAGTGCACGCAGTGCACGCACCATGTAAATCTGGAGGCACAAATATGTCCGGAGAGAGATCCTTGGAGACAGCGTAATCTATTACTTACTGGTGCTTAGGAGGGAATGGATGGGACTGGGGGAATGGGATGATTATTACTAGTGATTATGGATCATTCCCTCATTCTCTGCTAAGCACCAGTAAGTCTATAATATATGGGCACGGATGTCTCACCACTGCAGGGACATATCCATCTATCAATCTATAAAAATTATCGACCTATCGACCTACAAAACTACCTAGGTAGCCTGTGTAGATAGGCAATCCATCCATCGAGGATGTACATCACGTATGTGTGTGTGTTTTTTTTATGTGTCTTTAAAGATGCACTCATGGTGATGTATATACATATGTAAATAAATACATTAACAAATAAATACATACATAGATAAACAAGGCAACCGGTTGACTCGGCGCCCTTGTAAGGGTGACGAATTTGAAATTCTGATGTTTGAGGCTAAGAGACAAAATGCTGGTATTTGCAGGAGTCGTCAAAAAATGTTTGCAACATGGACATTCATTTCGATTGGCAGGCGTGTGACTCAAGAGTGAAAATGTGCGTTTCGCCTGCGCGGTGACGCGATTTTGCTCTTCAAGGGTCAAAAAAAAACATTAGAAATTTATGATTTTCAATCATCCGAATCATATCAGGGCGACATTCACTCTTCCAGTTTTTTCCTCTTCTCGACGCTAGCGGTGCCAGAGCGCTTGTGGCAACGCAGAAGCCACAGTCTGCAACAAGGCAGCGTTGGGACGCCATGTCCAGCTGTAGGCCCAAGTGACCTTTTTTTGTACACGTTTTTTTTGTGGAGCATCGACGGAGGTCGCCATTTTTTCAGGTGTTTCCATGTTCCATCCATTTGCTGAGTACCAGCAACAATGGTTCTATAGGATCTATCCCACAAACGACCTCGAAAATGATAAGTCTTAGTCTTAGTAAAGATATTTTGTTTGTGGTTGACTTGTGCCAACTTGAACCTTTTGTGGGGATAATCTTTGACGCAACTGACAGCATGTGCAACGTTTGCATCTTCCGTAACGTAAAGGAAATGCTCGTCAGGACGTTAATACCCCCCCCCCGCCTCCCCCCACCCCACCCTGATGATCATACGACAGCATGCGCAACGTGTGCATCTTCCGTAACGTAAAGGAAGTGCTCGTCAAGAACCTTATACACCCCCCCACCCCCCACCCCCACCGCCCCTGATGTTCATACGACAGCATGCGCAACATGTTAAAAACTCAAAATCCTATACCCCCATTTCCGCAAGCCTCATTTTTGAAATTTGCAACCCTTCCAAGGGACCGTAAATGGCACATCTCAAAATTGGCAACCCTTCCAAGGGCGCCGTATCAGCCGCATGCCATAAACAACTAGATACATAAATAAATAGATAAACAAATGAATAAATGAATATATATATATATGTTTACATATATGTGTTTATTTATGCATGATGTCACGACTCGCACAGGCTAAGGCTTGGACAGGCGGTAAGGACCCCACCTTCAGTGCGGCCAGGATGGTCTGCAGTTTGCCAGCTGCTCCTATGATAGGAGCTGCTTTGGGATGGAGACCCCTTGCTGACTCGGGATAGTTGGGTAAGATGGGTAAGATCAAACTTGAGACCTGAGTTTGGGACGCTTGTGAAGCAGACAAGTTGTTTTTGAAGATTTATATCATATCCTTATATAACCTTTGTGGTTTTAAGCCTACATTTAAGACCATACTGACTTGTAGTTTCAAGGTGATATCCCTCAAGCATAAGCTTTACGGGCCCAGTCGGATGTTCACTTCGGGGATGAGGCATATTCGCCCTGTGTTCATGGCCATGTTCATGGCTAGTTACAGTAGTGGCTCCACCCAATTACCTCGTGAAATAACCATGAAACATTTTTGTATGGTTAGTGAAATAACTTGTGTTCATGGTTAATGTCAACCCTGGATTAATAAACCCCTAGGTTGTTTAATTGGAGGGATACCCCCTAATTAATAAACCATGGTTTATTAATCCGGGGTTGACATTAGTGAAATAACTTGGACAACATTTTTTCGACGTCTTGACTTGGAACGACATGTTGGAAAGGTGTCTGCCACCCTCCAGGACGGTGGTCATTTGGAACGTGGCGGCAGGATCGCAGCTTGAGGTGACAAGGGTTAGAAAACCACATGGCTCAAGCAGGAACCTAGGGCAATATGGATTGCAGCGGGCCGTGTTTTTCCGAACATATATATATATATATATCTATATTCATATATATATATATATGTACACCCACACCCACACATACATTTTTCTGAATTTACCTTCAAACGTGGATGGTTTGATTTCAAGACATCACTATGTTGGATCGACCGTGACAGGTGCTGAAAAAGTTTAAGGCTCATGGGTGTGGAGACCCAGTTGGACATGACTGGGTCCAAGTTGGATTTTTTTTGACCAGTTGAGCCGCTGAAATACCCATGTTGATTGGTTACCCTCTGGTAAACTAACATAACTATGGAAAATCACCATTTTTAATGGGAAAATCCACTATAAATGGCAATTTTCAATAGTTATGTTAAATTACCAGAGGGTATACGGTACCAGACTATATATTGCCTCCTTATTGATTACACTTATGATTCATTTACCAACCCAGTTGAATAAGACAGAACAGGGATGTTTTGCACTGCTCAGTTGATGAATTCATGTGAGGATGTACCGTGCAAACATGTTCATGTTTATTTTTTGAGGTTCCACCATCTTTCACCGGGAATGCTAATTTACCCTCTGATAATTTAACAAAACTATTGAAAATAGCCCATTTATAGTTAAAGATGGTGATTTTCCATAGTTATGTTAGTTTACCAGAGGGTACAATTGTCAACTCAGGAACTCTCCTATACTGTAGATGACAGAACCAATGGAACCGGGGTCGATGTCTCATTCCTTGCGCTGTAAGGAACGGCATTGTGAGCATTGGCTATGCGGGGAAAAACACAATCGCCACATGTTCGGGAGACAAGGCGGCAATGTGGACAGCGCACCAGCCATACGGTTCAGTTCAATGTGGTGGGGGGAGGTTATATAATAGCTAGATATGTATACATATGTATCGTATAGATATCTGGGACCAGAAATCATGGTTCACATCTCAGTAGGCAGCCGAAAATGATCAACTATTTCAGGGTGGGCAAGGTACCAAACCCAAATCCCAGGCAAGGTATCCCCAGTGCAGCCCCTTTTTTGGCTTATTCCCCCGTTAGTTAAGGAGGACTTACGTCCGGAGGGGCCTTATGCCCTATGTTTGTTGCCCATCCCCATTGGCACCTACACTTCTAAGATTTCAACGGATTGGTTAAAACAGGTTTTTTTTTGCTGGAAACACCCCAATATTTCACGTGAAACTCCATACGAAACGTGGTTTCCCGTCGATTTTGCCTGAAACCAATCCATTGATAGTGGACTTATACCCTTTGGTAAACTAACATAACTATGGACAATCACCATTTTAAAAAGGTAAATCAATTTTAAATGGCAATTTTCAATAGTTATGTTAAATTACCAGAGGGCGAAAGTAACTTAACTATGGGGCACCACCTTTGAGCTCCAGCATTTTCGGCCGCAGACCGTGAAGATCTGGAAGTGGGATGAGGAACCACCGCCACTTGGAATCACTGGGGCAAGTGGGCACGGTGGGCACCAGCTTTTTGGTTCCGAAGCACCCAGAAACACAATCATGGTTGAATGGTGTGAAAAGTGGAAAAAGACCATGCAAAACCATGCAAAACCAACAAATTATGGTTGATCAGTTGATCAGAGTTTACGGCATATAAGTTACCTACAAAAACTTGCTGATTTTAATGGATCAATGAGGATCAATGAGGATCAATGTAGGTCAATATCGATTGTCTGTCATGTTCACCGTTGCTCAATGGCCACTGGGGCCTGGAGGCTCCACTAGTTGAAGGATGGGAATGGTGGAGAACTCGTTCCATGGAGCCGAAAGCCATGTTTAGCACAGAGGAAACAGTTCACCATTTCCATCCCACTTGCGACAGAAGATTTATCAGATTTATCAGGGGAGTATCTCTCTCTCTCTATATATATGTATATATATATATTATGTCTTATATATATATAGGTTTTCTTCTTTTCGTGGTGTCATGTCCAACCAAGCGTCCCAAGGTTGCTGCTCTGCGAGTTGAAAACTCGAGGCAGAGATCGGGTGATTTGGGGGCTGGCGTCACCAGAAGCACGCTAAACACCAGGGGTGTAGGCCCGGGGTGCAACATCATGGCTATAACATGGCTATAACTATGAGATTTTAACCTCCAAGAGTTGGGATAAGGGGCCCCTTTTTTCCCCACCTGCCAGGTGAGGGTTGTTAGATTTTATGTCAGTTCCCTCCTCCTCCTCCTTCTCCTCCTTCTCCTCCTCCTTCTCCTCCTCCTCCTCCTCCGCCTCCTCCTGCCTCGTCCTCCTCTCCTCCTCCTCCTCGTCCTCCTCGTCGTCCTCGTCGTCCTCGTCGTCCTTGCTCAACTGCGACCCGCGATCCACAGTGTTCTCTGCCGGACCTCAACCACGACCATCCACGCCCAGTGTTCCCTGCCGGACCTCAACCACGACCATCCTCGCCCAGTGTTCCCTGCCGGACCTCAACCACGACCATCCACGCCCAGTGTTCCCTGCCGGACCTCAACCACGACCATCCTCGCCCAGTGTTCCCTGCCGGACCTCAACCACGACCATCCACGCCCAGTGTTCCCTGCCGGACCTCAACCGCGAGTATCCACGCCAAGTGTTCCCTGCCGGACCTCATGTAGGAAGATATGGGACAAAAAATGTGCAGAAGAAAGTTAGAAAGAATGTCAGAAAGAATGTCAGAAGATATGCCAGAAGATATGCCAGATAGAATGCCAAATAGAATGCCAGATAGAATGCCAGATAGAATGCCAGAAAATATGTCAGAATATATGCCAGAAGATATGCCAGATAGAATGCCAGATAATATGCCAGAAGATATGCCAGATAGAATGCCAGAAGATTTGCCAGATAGAATGCCAGAAAATATGCCAGAAGATATGCCAGATAGATATGCCAGAAGATATTCCAGAAGATATGCCAGATAGAATGCCAGAAGATATGTCAGAATATATGCCAGAAGATATGTCAGATAGAATGCCAGATAGAATGCCAGAAGATATGTCAGATAGAATGCCAGAAGATATGCCAGAAGATATGCCAGAAGATATGCCAGATCATATGCCAGAAGATATGCCAGATAGAATGTCAAATAGAATGTCAGAAGATATGTCAGATAGAATGCCAGAAGATTTGCCAGTAAGAAAATGTATAAATGTCATGGTGGGGATCACACGAAGTAAAGTAATTGTGAACTCTAAGCCGCCCATTCTGATTCCAGCCCCCAAGCAGGATTGAACCATGGCGGATCAAATCTCATGGCGATTTTTCACCATCACACCTGGGGATTTCAAGCTGCTGATGAGATGGGGCGACAGAAGAAATCCTCACAGGAATAGACACCATTTCTGATGGTGTGTAAAACTGTATATTGTCTTGGTTTTCGCAGGTTTGTTGGTGTTGATTTTTCTTAAGGAATTTAAGGGGTCCTCAACAATTTACTTTTCCTTGTGGGTACTGGGCCGAGGCTGTTTCCATCGGGCCCTCATGAGGTTGATGGTTGGGATTCTTTGGACCAGGGATCCAACAAGCAATGGATACCCTCTGGTAAACATGAACACAGTTTGCGACATAGAAGCCATGGCCCAATCGAAATCGTTGATGACTACCCATTAAAAATGCATGGTGGATCTTTCCATAGTTATGTAATGTTATGTAAACGTTCACCAGAAGGTATTTCTTTGGTTGCCCAAGAATGCGTTCATCGTTGGCTTTCCCAATGATAACGTGTTGTTTTTTTTCCATGTCGCTGGTTGACTTAAGCTGGGAAATCCTCGAAGGAAATGAGTTGTCCGACTTGCCATGTTTGATGACATCGGAGGGTATGGCTTCAATGAATTTGAAGTTGTCATACTCAACAAAAACGTATCCAAACTTTTACTGGGACCTTAGACGGGTAGTAAGACTTCATCTTTTGTCATTAAACAACTTATAATCCCAATAGTTATAATCCCTTTCATGATAGGTTCGGCGGGTCCAACCCAGCCCAAACCAGCATTTACTCAGTTGAGTTTAGCCTTTTTTCGCATCAGGTCATCATTGGGTTCTATGACAACTATATATAGTAAGTAGTAAATTACCTGTCTCTCTTTTTTTGGGTTACTCTATATAAATCCCCTTTTTTGCTGATCACCCCCCAGAAATCGTGGTATTTTCCCCAGCCGTTTGACAGGCGTCGTAAAGGGGACGCCTGTCCCAGGCATCGCCAGTGACGTCTGCATGATCGATGATGACACGGTCTTCATCGCTGGAGGTGATGCCACGATTCGCATCTACAACTGGAAGGAGGATACCTGGAATACCTGGAACCATGGCAGGTGGAGAATTTCTAGATTTGAATATATACATATATATATAATATAATATATATATAATATAATATATATATATATATAATATAATATATATATAATATATATATATATATCATGATTTCAGCATGGTCATCTTATGGAAACCATTAGCAAAAATGGTGATTTGGTGGAATTTGATGGGGATTTAAGGGGGATTTGATGAAATATTTAAGTTCATGGAATGTTCATGTGGATGCCATGGGGATATGGAAATCATATGAAATGACTGAAATGATATGAAATGGGTATAGCAACTCTAGCGCAATCATTTTGGACATATAGACACATGTTCAATCTACAACAATTTGAGATATGATTTTCAACTTTCTGGCTTCCTTTTCCCCATGAATCCGGGATACTGCGCCAAGCAGTTCAACATTGGAAGGGGATATGGCGATTTTTTATGCCTCAAACGAGATGATGAGACTTGAAGTGCTTCGACATTGAAACAAGAGGCTGGGTCGCCCCAAGAGTTGTCTTTTTTTCTCTACCTTGTGAGGGCGTTAAATGGCTATCATGTATCATCATGTAAAACTGCAAGGATTTCCCCCCAATCGGTTTCTGAATCCTCACTTTCCATCATGATAAAGCAACTTTTGATTTGCCAGATATTTTTTCATGATTTTCAATAGCTTTCATCATTTTCTCCTATAGTTTATCAATGTTTATCATCATGTCATCATGTTTCCAACATGGAAAAAATCCCGCCAGCGCTTCCCAAAAAGGAGCGCGACGTGACTCAGTTCTATGCCCACGACATGACCTTGCAATGCTGTGTCGGGACCACCCAACGCGGGAGAAACGTTCGAATGGGCTGGGATTTTTTGTGGGGGTAGATCAAGCATGCATCATGGCATGCATCATGGGGATAAAGTCCATTTTTATAGGGTAAAATTACCCTCTGGTAAACTAACATAACTATGGAAAATCATCATTTTCAATGGGTAAATCCACTATAAATGGCCATTTTCAATAGCTATGTTAAATTACCAGAGGGTACATTAATTCTATGGTAACCTGAGTATCAACCATGTTATGGGGATAATTTGGAGGTTTCCGAACTCATGGGGGTCCCCCAATAGCTAGATGGTTTCCAATGGAAAATCCGAAAATAAAAGGGATGAGAACTAGGGGTAGCCCTATGACTTAGGAAACCTGAAAAAAAGGTGGCACAAGCGCCACAATTCTCTGTCAGGTGAGATTCCTCAACTATAAGTTGGTTAATCAACTCCATTCGTCAACCAAGTTATAGTTTGAAATTATCATACATACATATATATATATATATGTAAATGGGCTAACGCCCAGGTGCCGCCGCCCCCCTTTTTGAGGCTTCGGAATCGCAGATCACTGGGAAAATGTAAGAGTCATAACTTAAAACAGTATTTGGATATCTAACTATAGACTATAGTGTTATGAGAATATTGCAGCTACAGGGCTTGTATGACAAAAGATTTTTTAACCATTTGCTGCACCATTCTTGTAACCATTCTATTTACTATGCTGGAAGCACCCCTGTTCTTGCAACCGTTCTGTTTCCTATTCTGGAAGCATCTCTGTTCTCTTAAACGTTCTGTTTCCTGTTCTGGAAACACCTCTGTTCTTTTAACCATTCGACTTCCTATTCTGGAAGCACCTCTCTTCTAATCATTTGATGAATTTTTCTCAAGCCACCAGTCTTCCTGTAGCCATGCCACCTGCTATCCTGGAATCATATTTTTGATAGTCATCCTAACTGCGACCCTGAGGCCCTGAGGTAAACACGTTTTCAAACTATCCCAGTCCCATGTCTTAGTTTTCAAACTATCCCATTCCTTCTGTCAACGCTCAATAGAATGGACGGCCAGAAAAAGACACCACAAAAATGCAATATTCGACCTGGCAAAGCGCTGGCAAAGGGCTAAAGCTGCACGGAGGGTTTTGGGGCCCTGGTGGAACGTGCTTCGCGCAGGTTTTGAAACCCTCTAAATGCAGTATTTCGACTTGGCAAGGCAAGGGCTAAGGGCGATGGCAAAGTGCTGGCAAGGGGATAAAGCTGCACGGAAGGGTTTGGGGCCCTGGTGGAACGTGCTTCGCGCAGGTTTTGAAACCCTCTAAATGCAGAATTTCGACCTGGCAAGGCAGCGGCAAAGGGCGAAAGGTGCACAGGAGGGTTTCGTGTCCTAGTGAAACGTGCCTGGCGCAGGTGTGGAAACTGTCTAAATGCAATATTCGACCTGGCAAAGCGCTGGCAAGGGGCTAAAGCTGCACGGAAGGGTTTTGGGGCCCTGGTGGAACGTGCTTCGCGCAGGTTTTGAAACCCTCTAAATGCAGTATTTCGACTTGGCAAGGCAGGGGCAAAGGGCGAAAAAGGTGCACAGGAGGGTTTCGTGTCCTAGTGAAACGTGCCTGGCGCAGGTGTGGAAACCGTCTACATGCTATATTCGACCTGGCAAAGCGCTGGCAAGGCGCTAAAGCTGCACGGAAGGGTTTGGGGCTCTGGTGGAACGTGCTTCGTGCAGGTTTTGAAACCCTCTAAATGCAGAATTTCGACCTGGCAAGGCAGCGGCAAAGGGCGAAAGGTGCACAGGAGGGTTTTAGGGCCCTGGTGGAACGTGCTTCGCGCAGGTTCTGAAACCCTCTAAATGCAGTATTTCGACCTGGCAAGGCAAGGGCAAAGGGCGATGGCAAAGCGCTGGCAAGGGGGCTAAAGCTGCACAGAAGGGTTTGGGGCCCTGGTGGAACGTGCTTCGCGCAGGTTTTGAAACCCTCTAAATGCAGAATTTCGACAAGGCAAGGGCTAAGGGCGATGGCAAAGCGCTGGCAAGGGGCTAAAGCTGCACGGAGGGTTTTGGGGCCCTGGTGGAACGTGCTTCGCGCAGGTTTTGAAACCCTCTAAATGCAGTATTTCGACTTGGCAAGGCAGGGGCAAAGGGCGAAAAAGGTGCACAGGAGGGTTTCGTGTCCTAGTGAGACGTGCCTGGCGCAGGTGTGGAAACCGTCTAAGTGCAATATTCGATCTCTGGCAAAGCGCTGGCAAAGGGTTAAAGCTGCACGGAGGGTTTTGGGGCCCTGGTGGAACGTGCTCCGCGCAGGTTTTGAAACCCTCTCTAAATGCAGTATTGCGACCTGGCAAGGCAAGGGCAAAGGGCGATGGCAAAGCGATGGCAAGGGGCTAAAGTTGATGGTTTTGGGGTGGGGCCCTGGTGGAACGTGCTTCGCGCAGGTTTTGAAATCCTCTAAATGCAGAATTTCGACCTGGCAAGGCAGGGGCAAAGGGCGAAAGGTGCACAGGAGGGTTTCGTGTCCTAGTGAAACGTGCCTGGTGCAGGTTATATTCGATCTGGCAAAGCGCTGGCAAAGGGCTAAAGCTGCACGGAGGGTTTTGGGGCCCTGGTGGAACGTGCTTCGCGCAGGTTTTGAAACCCTCTAAATGCAGAATTTCGACCTGGCAAGGCAAGGGCTAAGGGCGATGGCAAAGCGCTGGCAAGGGGGTAAAGGCGCTGGCAAAGGGCTAAAGTTGATGGTTTTGGGGCCCTGGTGGAACGTGCTTCGCGCAGGTTTTGAAACCCTCTCTAAATGCAGTATTTCGACCTTGCAAAAGAACAGCAAAAAGGGCGATGGCAACACTGGCAAGGAGCTAAAGCTGCACGGAAGGGTTTGGGGCCCTGGTGGAACGTGCTTCGCGCAGGTTTTGAAACCCTCTATTTCGACCTGGCAAGGCAGGGGCAAAGTGCGAAAGGTGCACAGGAGGGTTTCGTGTCCTAGTGAAACGTGCCTGGTGCAGGTGTGGAAACCCGTCTAAATGCAATATTCGACTTGGCAAAGCGCTCGCAAAGGGCTAAAGCTGCACGGAGGGTTTTGGGGCCCTGGTGGAACGTGCTTCGCGCAGCTTTTGAAACCCTCTCTAAATGCAGTATTGCGACCTGGCAAGGCAAGGGCAAAGGGCGATGGCAAAGCGCTGGCAAGGGGCTAAAGCTGCACGGAAGGGTTTGGGGCCCTGGTGGAACGTGCTTCGCGCAGGTTTTGAAACCTTCTAAATGCAGAATTTCGACTTGGCAAGGCAGGGGCAAAGGGCGAAAGGTGCACAGGAGGGTTTCGTGTCCTAGTGAAACGTGCCTTGGTGGAGGTGTGGCAACCGTCTAAATGCAATATTCGACCTGGCAAAGCGCTGGCGAAGGGCTAAAGCTGCACGGAGGGTCATAGGGCCCTGGTGGAACGTGCTTCGCGCAGGTTTTGAAACCCTCTAAATGCAGTATTTCGACCTGGCAAGGCAAGGGCAAAGGGCGATGGCAAAGCGCTGGCAAGGGTCTAAAGCTGCACGGAAGGGTTTGGGGCCCTGGTGGAACGTGCTTCGCGCAGGTTTTGAAACCTTCTAAATGCAGAATTTTTACCTGGCAAGGCAGGGGCAAAGGGCGAAAGGTGCACAGGAGGGTTTCATGTCCTAGTGAAACATGCCTTGGCACAGGTGTGGAAACCGTCTAAATGCAATATTTGATCTGGCAAAGCGCTGGCAAAGGGCTAAAGCTGCACGGAGGGTTTTGGGGCCCTGGTGGAACGTGCTTCGCGCAGGTTTTGAAACCCTCTAAATGCAGAATTTCGACCTGGCAAGGCAAGGGCTAAGGGCGATGGCAAAGCGCTGGCAAGGGGCCAAAGCTGCACGGAGGGTTTTGGGGCCCTGGTGGAACGTGCTTCGCGCAGGTTTTGAAACCCTCTAAATGCAGAATTTCGACCTGGCAAGGCAGGGGCAAAGTGCGAAAGGTGCAGCACAGGAGGGTTTCGTGTCCTAGTGAAACGTGCCTGGCGCAGGTTATATTCGATCTGGCAAAGCGCTGGCAAAGGGCTAAAGCTGCACGGAGGGTTTTGGGGCCCTGGTGGAACGTGCTTCGCGCAGGTTTTGAAACCCTCTAAATGCAGTATTTCGACCTGGCAAGGCAAGGGCTAAGGGCGATGGCAAAGCGCTGGGAAGGGGGTAAAGGCGCTGGCAAAGGGCTAAAGTTGATGGTTTTGGGGCCCTGGTGGAACGTGCTACGTGCAGGTTTTGAAACCCTCTCTAAATGCAGTATTTCGACCTTGCAAAACAACGGCAAAAAGGGCTTTTGAAACCCTCTAAATGCAGAATTTCGACCTGGCAAGGCAGGGGCAAAGTGCGAAAGGTGCAGCACAGGAGGGTTTCGTGTCCTAGTGAAACGTGCCTGGCGCAGGTGTGGAAACCCGTCTAAATGCAATATTCGACTTGGCAAAGCGCTGGCAAAGGGCTAAAGCTGCACGGAGGGTTTTGGGGCCCTGGTGGAACGTGCTTCGCGCAGGTTTTGAAACCCTCTCTAAATGCAGTATTGCGACCTGGCAAGGCAAGGGCAAAGGGCGATGGCAAAGCGATGGCAAGGGGCTAAAGTTGATGGTTTTGGGGTGGGGCCCTGGTGGAACGTGCTTCGCGCAGGTTTTGAAATCCTCTAAATGCAGAATTTCGACCTGGCAAGGCAGGGGCAAAGGGCGAAAGGTGCACAGGAGGGTTTCGTGTCCTAGGGTGGAAAGCGTCGAAATGCAAGATACGACCTGGCAAAGCGCTGGCAAAGGCTAAAGCTGCACGGAAGGGTTTGGGGCCCTGGTGGAACGTGCTTCGCGCAGGTTTTGAAACCTTCTAACTGCACAATTATTTCGACCTGGCAAGGCGCTGGCAATGGGCTGCAGAGGGGTGCTTCGCGCTGCGCGGGATGGTTTCGTGACAGACGTGGACAGGAGAAAGGGCATGAGGCGACAGACACAGCCAGGAAGATGGCCGTGGCTGATGCTGCACACCTGCGGTGATCCCAGGCGCCGCCCCGCCTACGCCAAGGCTAGGCAGGGGGCGGCGGATATACACGTTATATAAATCATAAATCATCTATTTTTTGTTGACCAAGCATTTTGCTTGACATTTTTGGATCAACTCAGCCATTTTTCTGGTTGAAGCAAGTCGCTTCATCAGTGCCAAGTCTAACCATTTTGACCAACAGATTTGTCCTTAAATGGGGATTGAATTCCAATGGATTACAGTATCAACAGATATTTTTCTTTTTCCAAGACAAATTGCAACCGGTTGGGGGAATCAAGAGCTATGGCATAGCGGCATATCCATAATGGGATGCATTTTCCAATGGGCTTTTCATGCCATTTACTATCTGGTTGGTGATTTGGAACATGTTTTAGTTTTCCATATCTTGGGGTCATGTCATCATCCCAATTGACGAAGTCCATCATTTTTCAGAGGGGTTGGTTGGTCAACCACCAACCAGATGAAATAACTATGGTTGATATATTAAAATGATTTAACATGATAACATGATATGATAATTAGTGCAATATATACCTATAGTTGATGGATTATAATATCATTATCATAACATGATATGATATGATAACTATCTATATATCTATAGTTAATGGATTATAATTGACTATACATTAACTATATCCATAAACCTCCGCATGACGCGGCAGGTGCCTGTCCTGCCTGTCCTGCCTGCCCGGGCCCATCCGAATCAATGGACCGAGGCGATTTTTGGGTCACAGGTACTGCAGTGGATGGGCCAGCGAAATCCGATCAACCACCGATTTGGGAGGGTTGAAACATGTTGAAAGCCTATAAATCGTGGGATGTTTACCATCTATAAACATGTTGAAAGCCTAGAAATCATGGGATGTTTAGCATCGTTTTCGTGCAGTGGTGATTTCGTGGTGATTTCTTGGGGACCCCGGCAGGTACCCATCATGTACCAGAACGTCACATATCCCGAGAACGAGGAAGACAGCCGTGCTGCTTTGGAGCAGATGAGGCCCGAAGCTCTGATTTTACAGAAGAATTTAAATGATTGAAATCAATGTGACCTCGAAATGAGCGATTGAAATCGTTTCCAGAAAACTTAAAATTTGACGCAGAAGAACATCCAGGTGAAGTTTGGTGCCTGCTTTTGAAAGCCAGACACAGTCTTGACAAGTTTCGTGTTGCAGGAAAGTCCTCTACAACGCCCTAAATTACTCAGAAGTCTGAGCAGACAATGCCTAGCGAAGGGTACTGTCCGATGCGTCCGTTGCACAACTCAAGGTGTGCCGTTTCGGATAAGAGCAGAGCGGATTCAGTCTCAAACTGGCTGTAGGTCAGACTAGAAAATGGCTGCTCATCACCTAGTGGTATTGTAATGTATTGTAGGTATTGACCCATCCCCAAATCGACGCTTGAAACTTGAGTTTCAACCCCATTTATAGAATTATTGAATATATTCATCTTGAAACAACCCCATTTATACATAATGATTGTTGATTCATAGGCAAATCTTGACAGCCAACAAAAATCTGCCATTCCGTCAATGTTGGTGAATCCATGGCAGGTGGAGATCACCATGGATTAAGGATGGAAAAAATCCAGAAATCTGGTTGGGTCATTTCTGGTCACGGTCACAACGGTTGGTGGTGACTGGAACATGGCTGGATGACATGACTTTCCCATCATATTGGGAATGGAATAATCATCCCAACTGACTTTCACTCCATCATTTTTCAGAGGGGTAGGGCTCAACCACCAACCAGGGTCATGTGATGTCATGTGTCATATCCTCATTTTGCTGCTATTCGCCACAACTCAAAGTGGATTGAGGATTGAATCCGTCTTGAAGGCCCTCATGAGACAGGTCTGACGATTGAAAAAGTGCACAAGAATTAGAGATGTAATCAGCAATGACGGGGGTTTGAGCGACAGAAAGATTGGGTTCAAGAAAATGTATAGGTCAAGGGGCTGCGGAACTAGAGAAGCAATCATGGTGTTTCTCTTTGGCTGGTCAATTTTGAGGACGAAGATTGTGCAATCTTTGTGCCATCATCCCCGTTCTAGAGGATGAGTATCAAAGACTTCAACCCCTTAAAAACAAGAAAAACAAGACGGTCCATCCGGGATTGTCCCCTGGAAAATCAGACAAGAACGCGGCTACTGATAGGCACCCTGCAGACATGTCGAGCCATGCGGCCTTTCCGCATTCCGTCGATCTGACGGTCTTCCCCGTCGCGTGCGTCGCGAGCCTTTCCGGTGACTGCCGAGAGAAAGTTGCTGGGAGGAGAGTTGTCTAAGAGGGTGTAAGGGGAACCTGACAAGAGTTCCTGCCCTCTTGGGCCAAAAGTATATGATTTCTCGCAGACATAAGAAAATCATAAGAGAATCATAGAGGCTTTTCATGACTCGTCTTTCTACTCAGACAGCGATGATATGTGGGTTGGTGGCCCGGACAGCCATGAGGTGAAAGATTGTTTGGATTGTTGACTGGACGTCACTTGAGAAACATCTTCAGCTGGTGTGACGGCCATGCATGATGGTGTCTTGCTTGATGGTGATGATGGTGGTGATGGTGATGATGAAGCTGCTGCTGCTGCTGATGATGATGATGATGATGCCGCCGGTGGTGGCCGCGGCGATGTTCAATGGTGAGTGTCGATGGACAATCACACATATCGGCTCATAGACGAACAAACATATTGTCCCCGTACTCTTGTCTTCCGCTGCAAGAAGGGACCCCAGTTGTGAGTTGGTTTATGCTCCATCCAACTTACTATAGAGATATTGGCCATAAATCCGTCAGTTAGCCTGGCCATGTTATCCTTTGGAGCCTGCGCTTTTGACAATATTGGTTAGTGTTACCACCCCAGCATCAACCAACCAATGGGTTTTCAACTGAGTCTTACCGAGTCTTACCCCGCTTACAACCCCTCTATAACCCTATAACCACCGAAAAAACTCCCCTACAACCATCAACCAAGTGGGGTGTTCGAAACTGCTGAACTAATCCTCCGAACCTTCTCCAATTTGGCTCAATAGCGGTTCCCGGGGGACAAACCCTACCCCCGGTCGAGCACAAGATGATTGCGGGGAGCTCCAGCAGAGGGAAGATTCGGCCACTTGTGCGTGGGAACTAAGCATCACCTTCAGATCATTCAGATATTCGAAATTTCTTCGAAATTTAAATGAATTCGGATATTCAGATGTTTGCTTAAACCAGATACTTTGGATATTGGATATTTGGATATTGGTTGAATCAGGGATATGTTGTTCATTCATTGTAGGCTTTGATATCAGACCCATGGCATCTGGGTTTTTCGCTCATTGACATCGAGGCCGAAAAGTTCAGGGTGATTCCAATGATTTTCAGCCAGATTTATGTTGATTCCAATCGTTTCAGTCTTATTTACTTGGATAAACCGCGGTAAAGGGTAGGTTCATAGGCTTATTTTCTCTAACAGTTCTTGAAAGTGCCTAGGTTTGTTCGCTAAGTTGGTGCAGATCAGTAGGTTTTCACAAGGTGTACCCTCTGGTGAACTAACATAGCAATGGAAAATGGCTATTTATAGTGGATTTTCCCATGACAAATGATTTTCCATTGCTATGTTAGTTCACCAGAGGGTACTGTAAATGTATTATGAGATATCAGATATCATCTACAGTTAATGGATGCGAATGGGGCTTACCAACCAGAACATGCTGGGCTCTGAGCCAATGCTTGTTTCCGTGATTCAGCAGCTACTCAGACAAAGCTTATGGAGCCAACAATGGCAGATTATGCTCAACTAGATTGTATCCCTAAAAATATTGATTAAACATGATTAAACAATATTCTACAGTATACAGAGACCATTGTATGTATATATTCATATAGAGTATGTATTATTGTATATATGTATATAATACAGATTAATACAGTACATATGCATCATATTCCAAGCTGTGTGGGTCATTTTCGCATAACATCTCCGTCCACGGCCGGGGTAAGCGACAGATCGAGGTTCATATCGCGCTGTGGATCGCAGCATTTGGCGGGGTGATTTTGGAGGTGGGGTGTCCGATGCGCCGATGCCCACGTGCGGTTTTAAGCCGAACACTCGGTTCATCATCATCTCCAAATTGGATGATGTGCATTCATGCTGGGTTTTCCGCATCGATCTTATCTTATAGGAGGCCAATCTAGAAGATGCCTGTGGCAAAAAAAAACCTATTGATATCTATTGATCGAAAACTGCCCTTGCAGAGTCCCTATATCATTAATTTTTCTATGGCCATGTTTAAAATCACTTCGCCAACCCAATTGTCGACTGCACCAACCCCCTCATCGAAGCAACCATTGCATTTTCCAAGCAAAATGGAGGTTTCCGAAGTGGGGTACCCCATGGTACCCCCAAAACATCCAGTCATTAGACCACTTTGGTATGAAAGAATTCATGAAGGCAATGAACGCCGCAAAATCCCAATGATTTGATGTTTTTGCGTCGACGTCTTTCCAGGTTCTCGGTCTTCCTTTGGAGGCAGTTTCTGATGAGGCATCGATCTGCGTGTCGTGGTTGGAACTGGGGGTGAAGGCGAGGTTTTCAAAGATGTTTTCATGGCTTAGTTCTTGGTCATTTTGATGTCGAAAAATTGGGGGAAACATTTGAAGTATACTATCCAGATAGCCAAATATCCAGCTACTTGTCGGGCATATGTATCCACCATCCACAATTTTATGGGTTGAAAGGCTGATGCCTTGGTCAATTGATGTCTGGTGAACCAATCCATTTGAAGGATACTGATCCTACTTGGGGGTGCAGTTCCACTCATTCTTGTGGGTCAAAAATGTCAGTTGTAGGGCCCCCCTTTTCTCTACGAATGGAGTTCAAAATCCCATAGTTATATTCATTGATCACCATTAATAGCCATTAATAACCATTAATAAACCATTAATAACCATCACTAACCATTGATATTTACTAACCATCAATAATCATTGATATTAATTAACCATTAATCCCATAGTTATCAC